GAAATAGAGGCTTTGCATTCATCGAATACCAAGATCATTATTTAGCTGATACCGCCAGAAAGATTTTTTCCCAACCAAACTTTAAATTTGGCGATGCCATCACTACTCTTACTGTGAACTGGTCTGATCCCGAGGCTGAACAAAATGATGATAAAGTAAAAGATATCAAATCACTTTACATTAGAAATCTACCAGAAGAAAGGGACTCTGAGACATTAACCAAAGTTTTTAATGATATATATATTAAAAATGGTTTATCAGTAGTTTTTAATAATAGCAATAATAATAATAGCAATGGTCCAAGCGCAAAAATCTTGACATCACCAAATTTAATAACACCAACAGATGAACAAAGCAAAGATTCATCAACTATAGACAATAATAGTATAATTGAAAAAGTTGTAATACCTCAAGATATTCCAGGAAGTGGACAAAGAAGGGATTTCGCATTTGTTCATTTTAAAACCAGGGAGATAGCCGAAGAAATTATGAATATACATTCTGATAAACCGATTGAATATAAGGGTAGAGCTTTATCAATTAACTATGCTAAACCAGTGGATAAAAAAGTAAGAACTGATAAGCTTCAAAGAAAAATGCAAAGAAAATTATTAAATAATGCAAACAGTATAACAAATAAAAGCAGTAATATTATAAATAACAGTTTACTTAAAAATCAAAAAAATATAAATAGTTTATTAATAAAACAATTACAACAACAACAACAACCGTTGCACAATCAATATGGTCAACAATCATCCCAGCAGTTTTTAACACCACCACCACAATATTTATATAATCAACTAAACTCATTTAATCAACAAGTACCATTACAACCAAACCAACAATTAATATCAAATGTACATTATCCACAAGCTGCTGCCGCTAACACTGCTTTTTACAATTCTCATCATCATCCTCATCATCCTCAAGCAAATTATTATGCCGCTCCAAGTAATAATACAATGTCTTTAGATCCATCTACCATTAATCAATATATTCACCCCCAACAAACACAACCATATTTATATAACCAACATAACACTACCATCAATGGTAATCCCTCTACCCATTATAATCCGAATAGTTCAAAATTTAGATTTTCACCTTATTAAAATTTTAAAAAAAAATAACATTTTTTTTTATCATAAATTAACAATTATTTTTCCATATAAATTTTTATTTAATAATTTTTTTATTTCTTTGGTTTACATATATATCCAAAATTCCACAGAAAAAAAATTTCTATTATTTAAATAAAATTAAAATAATAATAAAATTAATAAAATAAATATTTTTTTTATTAATACATACCATATTATCACTTTATTATTTTATTAATAACGCTATATAATCATTTTATTTAACACTTGTCAATATATCTTTTCATTAAAAAATTTATTTTTTTAAATTTATTTTTTTTATTTTTTTTAATTTTATTTTTTTTTTAATTTTTTTTTTTTTTTAATTTTTTTAATTTTTTTTTTCCACACAAACTCGATAAAGATAAATAAAATAATAAACATTTAAATACAACCATAATAATAATATTATTAAATTATAATTAATATAAATTTTATTCAAATAGTATCGATACTATATATTTATAATAATAATAAAATTTTTATAACGCAACATTAAATATACAACAATTAATAAATAGTAATAAATAATAATAATAATATAAATAATAATAATAATAACAACAAATTTTAATATTGTAAGAATTTTTAAGAATTTTACATGAAGAAAATTAAAAAAATAATTTAAATATTTATAATTAATATAATTTTATTTATTTTTTTTTTTATTTTCTTTGTTTTTAATAACTTTAAATTAAAAAAAAAAAAAAAAGAAAAGAAAAAAGTTTTAAACTCATAGTTGAAATTAACTTTTTTAAAGCTATTTTAAGTTTAATTAATATTTATAAAGTTTATTTAAGATTATATAAGGAGAATTTATAAGCCTAATTACATTTGATAGTCACTCATTATTTCTATTATTTTATTTTTGTTATTTTTTATTATAGTAGAACCATAGAATTTTATATATATTTTTTTTTTTATTATTTTTTTATAAAAATATATTAAATATATATATAATTTATATTCTATTATAATAACAATAACAATAGTTTAATAATAATAAAAATAATAGTATATAAAAAAATATAAATAATAAATAATATCTTATAATAGTAAATAAAAATAGAAATAAATTATAGTTTTTTTTAATAAATCTTTTTTATAATAGTATTAAAATGGCTTTAGAAACCGAGGTTAATTTAAATAATTTAGACGAGTTTGGGTTAGGTTCTAATCAACTTATTGTCAGTAAAGGAATGAGTATCTGCAGGGATTTTTTAATATCCAAACTTTCTGACTATATAGGAGGAACAGACTCAAAATTTATTATAAACGAAAATGATTTAGATATGGGGTTCACATCAGATGACCTCTCAACTACAATAACTAGCGATATGATAAAAGATTTAAAAAAACAGATTATAAACCAACAAAATTTTATTCAAAACAAAATAAAAAATAAGTCTAATAATAACAATAATAATAACAGTAATTTATTAAATTTAGATACTTGGGATCTATCAGGTATCATTCAATTTTTCATCAAGTATATGGTCAATTCGTTTTATTCAGGGGATTCGAATACTTTAAAAGGATTGCTTTATGAAGTCTTAAATTTTAGAAATATGTGGGCCCACCAACGTCCTTTTAGTGTAGATGACGCAAACCGACTTCTTGATACTCTTGAAAGACTTTTCATAACCTTGGGTGATTGTAAAATGGCTTCTATGATGCAAACTCTAAAGCATACTCATTATTTCTATAGCTTTAACAAAATTTACGGTTTATTATCTTTAGACAAAAACTCATCAGGCAAGAAATTTTCAAATTCATCAAGTTAATTAATTCAGGAGGTGCCCAAGCGTTTAATACAAATATAAATAATTATATGTATAATAATAATAATAATAATAATATAAATAACAATAACAATATCAATAATAATATGAATAATATGAATAATAATAATGTCATTATGAATGGTATTAATAATTCCTCACCCTCCTCATCTCCACACAATGGCAATGTAATGAATTTAAATAATAATAATTTCATTAATAATAATAACAATAATAACATGAATATGAACAGCCAACACCCAAATAATATTAATTTAGATAATCAAAACTCATTATTTTCCAATAATAACTATCATACAATGACAATAAGAAATATGAACAATCAGGTACAGCAAATTGATAACTTTTTGCATCACCCAAATAATAACAATAGCAATAATAACAATGACAATGATAATAATATGAATGGCTCAAATGCTATCCCAAGTTATATAATACTTGGCAATCAATTTAGAAACCAAAATAATAATAGCAACAATAATACTATTAACCCACCCAATAATAATGGTAACAATAATATGTTTAATTTCAATAATAATATTAATAATAATAATAATAATAATAATATTAATAATAATAATAATAATAATAACAATAACAATAACACCAATAATATGAATAACAATATGAATAATTATCATTTTAATAACCAAGGTATCAACATAAATAATGGAATGAATTCCAATGGCTTTAGTTTAAACCCAAAAAAAAGAAGATTTGATGAAGAAAACTTTCAACAGAACTTTAGCGATATGAACTATGCAAACAATATAAACGATATGGATAGCAATATGAACAACTATTTCCCACAAAATCAAAATCAAAATCAAAATCAAAATGTTAATTACCAAATACAAAATATTACAGGAAATAATGGTAGTAATGGTGGTAATAATATGAATTCTAACAATAATGGTAATAACAATAACAATAACAAAAATAAAAATAAAAATAAAAAGGGAAAAGGAAAAGCTCAAAGTAGTCAAATTGGGAATAAAAAGAATAAGAATGAAATTTCAGATCAAAATAAACTATCTTAATTATTTGTATAATATAACTAAAAAAAATAATAAAAAATAAAACTTTCGAACAATTAGCTAATTTATTAAATTAGAAAAAAAAAAAATACATTATTATATTTATTTATCTTTTTTATTTTTATTTTTATTTTATTTAATTTTTTTATTTTTTTTAATATAATTTGTATTTATATAAATATTAAAATGAATAGTTTCTTTTCATTTTAATAACTAAACCAAGATTTCTACATTTTTTTTTGTGAATTGGCCAATTTGCGTATTGACATTCCTCGGAGCAGTAGCAACCATTGCCACATCTTTCGCATGGTTCTAAATCATCGATAGGGACCATTTTTTTACAATTATTACATGGTAAATCTTTAAGAGGAGGGCATGATTTTGATCTTGGTTTGGTTGGAATAGTATTATTGTTTATAGGTGGACTATTATGAATATGGGTTTCTTTAGGTTTATAATTATTATTATTTATAGTGTCATTATAGTTTTTTTTAATTTCTTTATCATTAACAGCTAATTTTGGTGGAGGCTATTATATAAATAAAAATAAAAAAAGAGTTAATATTAAAAAAAAAAAAATACAAATTTCTTATTTGTACTTACATTTTCAAGAACATATTCTATGGTTGAAGCTCTATACTTGTTCATTATATAATCTACTTTTGGATAACCACTACTATCAATGGAAGATATGTATTCTTTTGGATTTTCACTTACGGAGGGTGCTTTATAGAGGATCGAGTCGAGTAAATATTTTTTCCTTTGTTATTAGTTTTAGGCTGTTTCAAAAAAAAATATTAAAAAAAAAAAAAAATAGTAATTATTAATAAATGAAATAGTTTTTAGAAAAAAATAAAATAAAATAATTTGTTTCTATTTTATACAAAAAATATTTTAAAATAAAAAAATAAAAATAAAATAAAAAAAATAAAAAAAAATTATTTCTTTAAATAAATATAGTTTAAAATTTTTATAACTATTATTGTTTTTTGTAATCTCTTAAATATAAAATATTTAAAAACCAACATTTTAAAGACATAATTTTGAAAAAAATGTGTTATATATTACCATATTGGTTTATATGTTTTTATTGTTATATAAAAATGCATTTAATAACAAAGAACTGATCTATTTACAAAACATTACGAAATACTATATATGTTATTATAACCCACAAAACACACATTATGTTTTTTTTAAAAAAAAACTGATTAAACACACCTTATTTAAATAATTTTTAAAACAAATAAAATAATTTGTAAAGAGTTACAATAATTGTTATTTAAAATTATAAAATTTTTGTTAATATATATAAAATAAAATAGTATTATTAAATAAAAGTTTTTTTTTTTGATAATAATAAATATTAAAAAAAAAAAAAAAAAAAAACAACAAGGTGTTAAAAAAATAAATAAGACTTTAGTAACAAAAAATTACCTTTTTTTTAAAATTAATTAAGTAAATAAGTAAAAAAATATATAAAAAAATAAAAAAATAAATAGATAAATAAATAAATAAATAAATAAATATGAGTATTTAAATATAAATATAAAAAATTATTTAATTAAAATGTTTATTGATAAATTAAAAAAGAAAAAAATGAAATGAAATGAAAATAAAAAAAAACAAAATTTTTTTTATTATACAATTAATGATTATATTGTGTGAATTTAAGAATGAAAAGGCCAAATGTATACATATTCAAATTTCCAAAATATTTACCATTTTATAATTTATTATTTTTATGATTAATAAAATAACTTTAAATTTTATTTGATTTTAGAAATCGATTATAAATATAAATATAAATAAATAAAAAGATTACTATACAGATAAATTAATATTAAATATTTGAAAAAACAATTGATAATTTATAAAATATAAAATATTGATAAAAAAAAATTAATATAAAATAAAGAAATAAAAATAAAAATTATTTTTTTTGAAAAAAAAAAAAAAAAGAAAAGAAAAAATTGTATGTTATTACATATTTGGGTGTATTAATTAATTATGTGTTTAAATTTATTTGTGTTTGTGTTTATTTATTAGTGGTTTTATGAGTGTGCTGTTTGCTATAGATCGAACATGACGTATATTAAAATAAAATTCAAATAAAAAATAATATGGGTGTGGTGACAGCTGTGAGTGTGGGTTTTTATTGGTGTGTTTATGGGTGTGTGTATTTATATTTTATATAATCATAAATTTCATAATCAAACAGTACTAAAATAGAAAGAATAAAAAAAGCTAATATTTTAAATAATTTGAATGTGTTTTTATAATTGAAATCATATATTATGGTATTGTAAGAAAATCCTATAGTTGATTAATTAACACATCACTATGATTTTATTGTCCTTTATTTTTTTTGGTTTATTTTGTAATTACTATTTTAGTGTATGTATGGAGATAAAATATTTTATAAAATTTATGTACATTAAAAAATTTATTTATGAAAACAAATAATTTATCTATTTAATTTTTATTATTAATTATTATTAAATTAAGAGTGGTGATTATATTTTAAATTATATAAATATTAAATATATAATTATTTTATATTATCTCTTAAACCAATGTGTTATTGTTATTATTATTATTATTATTGTTGTTGTTGTTGTTGTTGTTTAATTAAACTGTTAAATTTCCAACAGCTGTGGCGGTTAAATTTTCATAGCACAAATTGCAAACCCTAGCTGGTTTATAATCTGTGACTGGGAGTTTGTATTTCATTTCTGAACATTTACCACATACTAAAGCACCACAATTTCTGCAATGATGCTAATTAAATAAAAAAAAGAGTTAGTAAAAAGTAACGATAATTTAAATTATTCATATGAAAAAAAAAAAAATTTTAAATGATATTATTAAATATATTAAATATTACTTACTCTTCTATTTAATAATGAAAAAGGACCACAACATTTAGGACAGTTATCTGCGCTTTCATCTGGTGCCCAAACTGGAGCTTCAGCATGTTTAATTTTTTCTTTTTTAATTGTTTTTCCTTTTTCTTTTAATTTTTCAATCTAATAAAAAAAAATTATAATTAGTACTCATTGATTAAAACTATTATAATCGAAAATAATAATAATTACAGTTTCTGTTAAAACAATCATCCATTGCATTTTCAATTCTGGAGTATCAGCAAAGACAACAAAGGATTTCTTATTACTGCAAATTTGGAATGCATTAACGATGACTGAACCATTTAATGAAATGGATGATGAGCCACCAGAGTTACCATCTGGAATATCGTCAATACGGCAATGATCGAGCTCTATTGTTCCATGTAAGAGTAATTTTGGTGGAATACTGCTACCATAAACTAAAATATCATTGAATAAAAATACAACTCTTTTTTTACATGCTTTTCTACAAACTTTGGTTAAACTTCCTTCAAAAATAAATTCTCTGTGTGGTGCTACAAATTTTGGATCATTTAAAAACATCTTTTGAATTTCGAAAACTTTTTGACGATTTTCATTCTTTTTAATAGCATCATTTGCATCGTTGGTAACTTTTTTCATTTTTTCGTAAGAATCTTTAAGTAAAGGATAATCTATGTGACTTGGATCTGTATGTTTAAGTACTTCATCTAATAACATATGATATCTTGTAATACGTTGAACTGGTTGAATTAAATATGATCTTAAGTCTAACTTCTTTGTTCTTGGGTCCTCTGTGCATTTTTGAATAAATGTTGTAAATGTTGAATTCTTTTCACATTCTGTAATAATATTTAAAATATTATCAAATCCTACTGTGTAATTGGTATACATCTTCAAAAATGGTGTCTTTATTAAAGGAAAAAAAGGATTAAAAAATTAGTAACTTTAATTATTTTCATATATTTTATAAAATAATATACATACTAAACGTTGGAATGTATCACCAATAGTTTGTTGGTTTGACCAGTTTTGTAATTTTTCCTCCAAGTTGCCCAACAATTCAATACCAATCAATAAAATATCCGGAATATTTGCACAAATGGCTTGTGCATGTTCTTTTGAAATACCACCTTCACCTGCTTTGAATGGATTAATAAATACCTCTACTAAAATTTTCATATTATCTACATAGGTTCTTTCGGTGGTTAAAATTTCTTTACTTTTCAAATCTCTCATAGTTGTAAATGCTGCAAGGTGATCTAAACTTGGATGATTTGATTGAACTGGTGCTGCTTGTGGTGTTGTTGCTAATTGTGTGGGTGGTGGAGGTAGTGTTTGTTTTTCGAGAATTGCTGCATTTGTTACATGAACTGTATTATATTGCGAATTGTTATTTGTATTTTGACTATTGTTTTTATTATTTGTATTTATATTATCATTTTTTGTTATTAGAATATTATTAATGTTATTGTTATTGTTATTATTTTCAAATATTTTGAACATTTTATCAAATTGTGGTATAATTAAAAAAATTAAAAAAATTAAGAGAGAAATAAAAATAAAAATTTAATATCAGTATTTATAAATTATAAATTAAAAATAAAATAAAATAAAAAAATTAAAAAATAAAAGTAGAAAAATTAATAATTGGTGTGTTTTATAATGAATAATAATTATTAAAAATATTTTAGATTTTAATGTATGTTTAAAAACTTTAAACATATTTTTAATTTTTTTATAACACACAATTTTTAACCCCATAAAAAAAAAAAAAATATAAAATGATAATAACATACCCTAAATTTAAAAATGATTGACTTTTTTGTGCTAGAGGTTGTATTGGTTGATTTGAAGAAGGTTTCATAGTATGTCTGTGTTCGTTTGGAAGAGGAGGCATTGGTTTTTTTGGTAACATTTTAGAAGGTGGTAAATTATTAGGTTTAGGTGGTGATAATGCAACATCTGTTGAATCGCTATTTAAATCTGGTGAAATTGGTTCTTGTGATTCGTGATTTAATAATGGGTTTGGTATTGGACTTGGAGATGGTTGTGGTAAAGGTTTGGCCTTATAACTATTTAAATTTCCTGAACTTTGTTGTCTTGGTGGAAGTAAAGGTGATATATTATTGCTATTATTTGATGGTGTAAATGAAGAGTTATTTGGTGTATTTGTTGGAGTATTTAGTTTTGGTAAGTGTCCTGGTGGTGATAATGAAGTTGGCATTGTTGACCTTTTTTGGTCAGGTGAAATAGGTCCATCTCTAGGTGGGATTGGAGGTGGAATTGATGGTAATTTACTTGCAAAACTATTATTATTTGGTGCTACACTTTGTCTATCTGGTAAACTGGGTGCTTTACTTTTTGGTTTGGGTGGAGGTACTGGTCTGTTTATTTCTTGATCAGTTGATGACATATTTTAATTTTGTATTGTGTGTATATATTTTATGTTACAAATAAATAAATAAATAAATAAATAAATAAAGGTGTTTTTGATTTTAAAATATTTTCTAATGTATTTTAATTCGATTTTTTTTTTTTTTATTATTAAAAAAATTAATGTGGTGCGGTGCGGTGAGGTGCTAATTTAAAAAAAAATAAATCTATTTTTTTTTTATTTTTTAATAATTTGATAAAATATTAAACTATAGTTATTATTATTGTTATAATTTAATATTTTATAAACTATTATTATTATTTATATAGATATTTTACTATGATGTAAAGCTGTATATTAACACCAAAAAAAATAAAAAATAAAAAAAAATACTTTTTCTTTTTATTTCAGTTATTTACCAAATTTTTAAAAAAATTAAAAAAAAAAAAAAAAGTTGAAAAATCTAAAAAAAAAAAAAAAATAATTTAAATAAATAAATTTGAAAATAAAAAAAAAAAAAAAAAAAAAAAAAAAAAAAAAAAAAAAAGGATTTTTTTATACATATTATTATTTGTTTTATTATTATGATAAAAGTTTTTCAAAACCTTGATATTTTTTGTTGGGATAAAATTTTATAATAATTAAAATTTTGATTAAAAAAAATAAAAATAAATAAAAATAAAAATAAAAATAATAAAAATTAGAAAATTAGTTTAAAATATAGCGATTGATAAATCGAAAAATTAATTAATAATAATAATTACCTTTTTTAGCATCATCAGTAACTTTTTCTGGGAAAATAATAGTGAAAACAACATACAAGTCACCAGTTTGGCTTGAGAATTGGTGATTTGGCATACCTTGACCTTCGATTTTGATAGTGTGGCCTGGTGGTGTAACTTGATCACGATTGATTTTAACTTTTTGATCATCTAAATGAGAAATTTCTTTTTCGAAACCAACTAATGACTCTAAAAGTGTAATTGACATTTCATAATATAAATTATCGCCTTGTCTCTTGAATAAAGGATCTGGAATAGTTACAATCTTGAATACAATATCGCCTGGTGTAATATCTGGTGCTTCTTCACCTAATTGTTCTAATCTAATTGTTGATTGATCGTTCATACCTTTTTCAACTTCGAGTGTATAGGTTTCTTCGCCTGTTTCAACTTTTTTACCGTTACAATGTGGACATTTGCTTGTTACTTTTTTACCTTTACCGCCGCATTCATCACAACTATATTGATTTTTTCCAATCGAGATTTATTATTAATACCTTATATATATATATAAATTTATATTTTAAAAAATACATACGTTGATTGAATTTGTTGTACAAAACCTGGACCTAATTGTTGAACCTTTAATTTTACACCACTACCTTTACATCCACCACAAGTTGTAACATCTGATGCTTTTTTAGCGCCAGTACCACGACATTTGGTACAAAGAATTTGTTTTTTATGAGTGACTCTTAAAGTTTTACCAACGTATAAATCTTTTAATGTAACTTCTAAATCCAATTCGATATCTGCACCTTTTTGTTGCATTGGTTGTTGTTGATGGTGATGTCTATTTCCAAATCTAAAAAATTAAAAAAAAAAAAAAAAAAAAAAAAAAAAAGTATTAATACCCCCATTTCATTGTTTATTATTTTATTTATTATCATCAAATGATATTATATACTTACACAGAGAAAATATCGAATGGATCAAAACCACCTCCACCATGATTATTCTTTAAACCTTCTTCGCCATATTGATCGTAGATTCTTCTTTTTTCTGGATCGCTTAAGGTTTCATATGCAGAGTTAATTTGAATATATAAATCTTTTTTTTCTGGGTTTTTGTCTGTATGTTGATTAAAATTAAAAAATGAAAAAAAAAAAAAAAAAAATTCGATTTTGATTAATATTCGATTTTTGGTTTGAGATTTAAATAAATGTTGTTTGGTTGTTGGATAAATGTCATACCTGGATGGTATTTTACGGATAGTTTTCTGTATGCTCTTTTAATATCGGTTGGTGAGGCATCTCTTGATAAACCTAAAATTTCATAAAAATCTTTACCGGCATTTACCAAAACTGATACAATAATAACAATTAACAAAACGATTAAAGTTCTTATTTTAATCATTTTGAAATCAATTTATCTCTATTATTATATTACAAAATATTTTTAAAAATAAATTGAACGAAATATTCTTTTAATTGTTTTTTATAAAAAAAATATTTATTATTACTGTTTAAAAATAAAAAAAAAAAACTAATTTCAATAAAAAAAATTAAAAAAAATTAAAAAAATTTTTTTTAAAAAAAAATAATTTTTGGTGACACGCCAAAAGATAATTAAAAAAGGTTTTTTGTTAAACAATAATTATATTTTATTTTTTTAAAAAAATTTAAATATTAACTTTAAATTTATTCTTCATTTGAAATGTTTGCTTTTTTACAGGGTCTTGAATCAGTTATGTTATAGGAATCGTTTATATTATTGTTTATATAATCACTATTGTCACTATTATCACTATTTAATTGTTGAATTTCGTTATTTATGATATTATATTTTTCGATCAAAGATAAAATTGAAAGAGATAAATCTAAAAAGTTGACAGGTTTTGGACAATGTAAATCAAAACCACTTTTTAAAACTTTCTCTTTGTCATATGAGGAAACAGATGCAGTGAGAGCTATAATTGGAATTACCTTGTTTTGTGGGTTGATTTTTTCTCTATCCCTTAATTTTCTGACCATACTGTAACCATCCTCGAAGGGCATTGTTAAATCTGATAAAATAATATCTGGTTGTGGTTTGTTTGGGTCACATAGGAATTGATAGGCATCTGCTACTCTTTGGAAGGTATCTATTCTTCTGGCACCTAGTTTATAAAGCATAGATGAAAAAAGAAGATTGGTTTCTTCTAAATCATCAACCAGCATTATGGAGATACCGGTTAAAAGATTTTTGTTACGTTTTGGGGATTTTAATATTTCTGATGAATTTTGTGATATTGTTGGTGATGGCGATGGTAATGCTGATGTTGGAGTTGTAATATTGTTAATTTTATTATTATTATTATTATTATTATTATTATTATTATTATTATTGTTTATATTATTGTTAATGTTGTTGTTACTTGATGATAGTTCTAATTCAGAGTTATCATTGATGTTATTGCTATTATCTAATGGGGAAGGAATTAAAGTTTGTGATGATGGTAAAAATTTAGAATTACTGTAATTTGGTGATGGTGTTGATTGGTTATCTCGCTGTCTTTTATTATTCATGTTGTTTTGTTCTTGTTGTTGATAGTCGCTACTATAATTTTGTGTTTGAAGTTGGTAACCATTATTTTGTTGATAATTTGTATGTAAAGTATTTTGAGGTTGTTGTTGTTGTTGTTGTTGTTGTTGTTGTTGTTGTTGTTGTTGTTGTTGTTGTTGTTGTTGTGATTGTTGTGATTGTTGTGATTGTTGCTGTTGTGGTTGATGATAGTAATTTTGAAGATTTTGATTTTTTTCAATTTGAATTGGTTGGTTAAAAAATGATTTTTTAATTATTGGTGGTGATGAGGTGTCTGATAAAATTGGAGAGTTTGTATTTGATCTAAACATTTTTGTTACAGGTAAAACTACGGTGAATTGTGAACCTTTATTTTCACCTTGACTATTTGCAAATACAGCACCTTTATGTAAATGAATAATATTTTGGGTTATTGATAAACCTATACCTAAACCGCCATATGAACGGGTTGAACTACAATCAGCTTGTTTGAATCTATCAAAAACATTTGGGAGGAATTGGTGAGGAATTCCTTTACCGTTATCCGAGATGGTTAATAATATCCAACGATCACCTTGTCTTTGAATTGGATTAAACATTGGATTACTACAAAATCCTAATTCATTGATTGGTATTTGATTGAGTACTTTGGCGTGAATTTCGATTTTACCATTTTCGTTTGTGAATTTTATAGAGTTTGAAAGTAAATTCCAAATAACTTGTTGTAATCTTGATTTGTCACCACGTAAATTTTGAAGGACTTGTGGATCTTGAGGTGGCTCTTCTATATTTGTATCGATAGTTATGTGTTTGCTTTGAGCACTTACCAAAATGGAGGCAATGGCATTCTGAATTAATAATGGTAAATCAACTTCGCCCATAATTAAACTAAATTTATCACCAATGATTAAAGACATATCTAAAAGATCATTGATAAGTTGATTTTGAGAACTTGCACAACGTTCAATAGTTTGTAAACCTGTTCTAATGGTTGAGTCATCGGATGAGTCTAAATCGTAAAGTAATAATTGGCACCAACCCAAAATACCATTTAAAGGAGTACGTAGTTCGTGGGATAGATTCATAAAGAATTCATCTTTCGATTTGTTTGTATTGTTTAATAGATTTCTTTCTTTTTCTAATTCGCCAACTAATGCTTGAAGGTCACGCTTTTTAAGTGTTAGTTGATTAATAAGTTCTTGAAGGTCAGTATTTGCAGAGCTTAGTTCTTCTTGAAGGAATTGTTTAGCCTTTTTCATCGTCATTAAGTTTACAACTCTTGCTACTAATTCTTCTGAGGAGAATGGTTTATTTACATAATCTGATACACCGTTTTGAAGTAATCTAACCCTAAGATTTTCATCAGCTTTTGCAGTTAATAGAATGATTGGAATGTTATCATACTGTTCATCTGAACGTAGCTTTTCAACCATTTCATCACCACTCATTTTTGGCATCATACAATCGGTCACAATAAGATCGGGTGTAAAAGCTTTGGTTTTCTCTATACCCTCGATACCATCGAATGCTGTTACTACAAAATAATATTTGCTTAAGAGTTCTGCTATGAAACGGTTCATTTCTGGGTTATCTTCGACTACTAATACAATGGGTTTGTTATGAATATTTTCTTTTGATTGATAAAATTGCTTTTCAGTTAACTCTTCGACAGCTTGTTGGGCAATTGCATGAACACCCATAATACTACCCATATTATCTTTAAGGCCTGAGTTTAATATTGATTGATTTTCAACTGACATTGATGATGATGATGACGAGCTAGGTGGAAAGTTGATATGAAGATTATTTGTTGGAGATGATGATGTCGATGTAGATGTTGATAAATGTAAACCATTAGTTTCTTGATGGTTTTGATCATATTGGAATTGTTCATTTTTAATTTTTTCTTCACGTTCATAATGTTCTTTTTGTTCACGCTCATGGTCTTGCTTTTCTACAATTTCGGAAATATTCGAATCTGAAATGGTTTTTTTATATAATTGTTCATCCATATTGGGTGAAAGTGGTATTCTAAGTGTAAATTGGGCACCACATTTTGAACCATTATGAATTGATACGGTACCACCATGAAGTGTAACAAATTCTTTTACAATACTTAGACCTAAACCTGTACCACCATGTTTTCTGGTATTTGTTCCATCCACTTGTCTAAAACGTTCAAAAATTATTTCGTGTAATTTCTCTGGAATACCTGGACCTGTATCGGAAACTATAATTTGAAAACCTGGAACAGTTGGAGATATATCAAATTTCTCTAATATACATTTTACTGAACCACCCGAAGGTGTAAATTTAAAGGCATTTGAAAGTAAATTGGTAATGACACGTTGCATCTTATCGGCGTCAATCGCTGCCATTAATGGTATACTTGGTGTTATAATTGAAAAGTCTAATGATTTCTCTCTTGCTAAAATTTCAAAACATGATGCGATTAAATGTACAGTTTGGCTGAGATTTACCATCGAGTAATTTAAATTCATTTTACCTGCTTCTAATCTGCTAATATCCAATAAATTATTTACAATTTTCAATAAACTTCTAGAATTTCTTGCAACAATATCTAAATCCTTTCTAACATTTTCACTTAAATTTTCTTCTTTTAATAGTTTATCAGTAGGTCCAACAATTAATGCTAAGGGAGTTCTTAATTCATGTGATACATTCGCACTAAAAATATTGTGTTTATTATTAGTATATGTAATTTGTTATTATTATTATTATTAATGCCATCTACTTACAAAAACTGGGTTTTTAATTCATCCAATTCTTTAATTTTTTCATATAAACTTCTTAATTCATTGTTTTTTCTTTCGATTTCAATTTCACCCAATCTTTTTTCTGTAATATTTCTTCCTTCTGGTAAAATTAATGAGACCTCACCTTTATCGTTAAATAGTGGCATTAGGGAGAAATCAATTGTAATTTTCTCTGTACCTGCTGATTTTCCAAAAATTTCTGTTTCATAACGTATAAATTCACCTTTTGATGCTTTGTGTACTGCTTCTCTAACGTTGTCGATATTTTCTTGTGATGTTGCCCACCATCTGCAATCCCAAAATGGTATGCCTTGTATACTTGCACGTATCATACCACCACCTTGTAATGCTGGTTCATTTACATCTAAAAGATTGCCATTTACATCTAATAATGCCACAAACTAAAGAAAAAAAAATTTTGTTAATATTTGACTGATAAAACTATATTATCTCTTTCTCTATCCTATACTTTACCTGATACATTTCATCTAACATAATACGTGCGTTTTTATTTGAGATTGTAATCGCTCTCATTTGCTGTAGTTCTAAAATCAACTCATCTTTTGTCTTTTCAAAATCTGATTTTTGTGGTAGTTGCTGAAGTTGTTGTTGTTGCTGACTTGTAATACTAAAAACACTGCCATTACTATTGGATTTCAAATAGTTTGAAACTGCTGTTGTGGGTGATATTTCGTCTTGAACTTGCATATATTGTTTTATATGTTTATTATTATTTTTATAAATAAAAATAATAATAAATTTCTATCCTTCACCTATTTAAATTAATAATTCCAATTTGCCTATAAACTTTTAAGAAAAAAAATATATTTTATAATTGGTTAATTCTATCAATTTTATTATGATTTTGATTTTTGATTTTGATTTTTGATTTTTGATTTTTGATTTTTGATTTTTGATTTTTGATTTTGTTTTTTTATTTTAATTTAATATAATTTATATAACAAAATAGAAAAAAAAAAAAGAAAGAAATTAAAAATAAATGAATAATTTTAAATAAAAAAAATAAAAAATTTCTATTTATGTATATTTGAAATTTTATTTGTTTTTGTGGGTGTGTGCGTGTTGTTGTTATTATATATTATTTAAAATTGATAATGATAAATACTTAATACTACAAAAACAAAGTAAATTTTTTTTATTAATATTGTCTTTTTGTTTCTTTGTGTTTTTCTTTGTTTGTCTCTTTAAAAGTATATCAAATTAATTAATTTTTTATTTATTTATTTATATAGTTTTTTAAAATAAAATAAAACCTTAAACAAAAAAAAATAAAAAAATAAAAAAAGAAAAAGATGTTGTTTTTACATATAAAGTTATTATTTATTTATAATTTGAAATTCTACTAAATAAGCTAATTATTATTTATATATCTTTAAAAAAAATATGTGAAAAAAATTTAAAAAAAATTTTAAATAAAAAAATAAAAAATAATGCAAAAAAAAATAGTTTTTTTTTAAATTAATTAAAAAAAATATTTTTATAAAATATAAAAAATTATTTTATTAATTAATTAAATTTTTAAATTAAAAAAATAAAAAGGATAATAAAAAAAAAGTTTATAGTTTTATTAAAACCTACAATAAATTATTTTTTCCAATATGCAACATATATTTTTATTCTATTATGATTTGAAATATTTTTAATATGAGCTATTTGCTAAAAATAAAAAAAAAATATTTTATATTCTATTATTAAAAATATTTAATATGCTTATTATTATCATTTGATAATTTTTTTTCTTTTTTTTTTTTTTGCGGTTGGTGATAAATGATAGTTTCACACACATATTTTAAAATATAAAAGGTATTTTAATATAAAATGAGTAATATTTTATATAAGTAATTTTATTGTTGTTGTTTGTTGCACAGTTTTGATTAAAAAGTAAATTTTTTTATTCTGTATAAATATTTTTATGTTTTCTTATATTTCTGAGCTAAGTGTGTGAATATGTGGTGTGTTAGTGTTTAAAATATTTTATTTACCTTAATTTTATTTATATTTCCTATATTATTAAATTTCTAAAGTTTTATCTAATAGCTTTAACTAATTGAAAAAATATTTTGTTATTATTTCTTTTATTATTATCTATTAATATATAAACTAATTATTATTTACACTGTTATAATTTTATTTTAATTGAGGGAAACAATGAACTTTTTTTAAAAAAAGAATGAAAAAAAAAAGTAAAAAAAAAAATTAAAAAAAAAAAAGAAAAAATATAAAAAAAAAGGAATTTATTTATTGCATTAATTATAAAAACAAAGAGTTATTAATAAAATATAGAATCTTTTTATTATAATATATTGTATTTGTTTGGGAATATTTTTAAAGAAAAAAAATTTGAAAAAAATAAAAAATAATTAAAATAAAAAAAAATTGAAGTAGTTATGAAATTAAATTTTTATTATTGTTTTTTTTATTATAAATAAAATAATATATTTATTAAAAATAAAAATAAAATAATAAAAATATTATCCCTTTATAATTAAAGTTTGAGGTTTATTAGGGAGAATGTGTGGGTGTGTGAAGTGTGGGAGTGTGCATTGATTAAAATATTATTTTTTTTTTAAATTGTTATTTTACCTATTATTTATTATATTAATTAAAAAAAAAAAGCTTTTTTGTTGTGTGTGAGTCTTAAAAAGTGTGTGTGATTATTTTTTTAATTGGAAGATCTCAAGATTTGTGTTAATTAATTTATGCAAATTAATTAATTAAAATAAAATTGTTTTAATTACTGTGGGGTATTTTTGTGTGATTAGAGTGGGAAAATTTTCTTATTTTAAGGGTATATATGTTGTTATTGTTGTGCTATATTTATATTGCCGATTCTTATTGTTATTCGTTATATGATTTATCTATTGACCCCCCAAAATAACAACAAAATAATAAAAATAAAATTAATTAAAATTTTTTTAAAAGAATTTTTAAAAAAAATTTATGAAATATATATAAAGATATAAAGATAAATTATTTATAAAATGATCATTTGAGGTAATAAAAATTATGTGTAGTTCTTTTTTTTTTTTTGTATATATTAAATTAAATAATTGTTTTTTATTTTATTTTTTATTTTTTAAAGCTACATTTAATGCATCAAGGTGAGCATTGGCATTACCTTGTAATGGCTGTGAGCTAATAAATTGTGAAGCTCTACGTGAAAGTCTAATAGCTTGACCACCTTTCATATGGTTCATAAGTTGATCCATGAATTGACCATGTGGTTCATCGTCATCGTCATCATGATGTGATTGTGGAGCATTTGAAACAACGCTTGATGGTCTTGAGTTTGGTAAAATAATTTGTGGTTTACCTGCAGCGATTGGAACAGGAGGTTTAGCACCAGTAGAGGTTGGTGTGGCACCAGTTGATGGAGCTTGTGATTTCTTTCTTGCAGCTAATTTTTGTGCATTTTCTTTTTCTCTTTGAATATTATCGATGGTACGTTTGAATTCATTTTTGAATTTACTGATGTGATTAAAGAACTCTTCTGGGGATGCAGTTTTAACATCTTCACCATAGAATGTAACAGTTGAATTAAATGATTCAAGAGCGGTGTTAAATTGTTTTTCAATTAAATTTACAGATTCTGTTGATTTACCGACGAAACCAGAAAGAATAGTTTTGGATGGGCCATCAGATTTTTCGACTTCATTTGTTAATTGGATCAAACCTTTCTTGAGTGAAGCGACTTCTGATTTCAAGTTTTGAATGGATACTCTTTTAGCTTCATCAACAGCAGTGAATTGTTCGTGGAATGATAAAAGAGTTGGGTGTTTATTTTCGAGGAATTGAATTAACCAGGTCATTAAAGTGATCTTTGAATCACCTGGAGAACGTACATCGACTAAATTACAGAGTGAGTCTAATTTGAAACCATATACATCACCTCTTGGTGTACCACCATTGATAAAGTTACCTAAACTTAAAATAATTTCTAATAATTGGTGGAAGCTCTTATTGTTTTTAGTTTCCATTGAACCTTTAAGTAAAGCATTGATATCTGGTGTAAGCTCTTCAATTTGTGAGGCTAATTTTTGTTTAAAGATAAAGCATTCTAATTTTTCTGAAACTCTATTGATCTTGCTTAACTCTAAAAGGAATTGTTCTGGTTTACCGAGTGAGTGTGGGTCTTCTTCTTTAATTAATTCAATTTCTTCTGGTGTTGGTACAAATTTTAAGAGTGATTTAGCATCCTCAAGGTTTAATTTTGATTCATCTAAATTGGTAATGGCTTTACCTAGATCAGCAAATGACATTTTGAATCTGCTTAACATAATTGAAATGGCTTGAGAACGCTTTGGATCCAAAATACTGATAGTTTGATTTGCTTTAATTGGTGCACCAATACCTGGTCCAGATGCAGCTGGTGCTGGTGTGGCTGGTGCAGGTTTCTTTGCTTGGAAGAGATCCTCAAGTGATTTAAATTGATCATTCAAATTATAGTCTTTAACATTCATCCACATTGAATTTTCAATTACATTATTATTAACTTTTTTCCATTGTAAACCAACCATTTTGACTGATGGCACTGTAGTCTTCTTTGCTGGTAAATTTGGACCAGCAGGTTTTTTAGCTGCTCCTCCAGGTGGTGGGGGTGGTGGTGGGGGACCTCCTGCTCCTCCTGGTGGTGGAGGTGGTGGTGGTGGAGCACCTCCTGGTGGTGGAGGTGGAGGTGGTGGTGGAGGGGCACCTCCTGGTGGTGGTGGTGGTGGGGCTGGAGCTGGTGGTGGTGGAGCAACAACTGTGTCACTACTTGAGGATTGTGACTCACCACTATTATTATTGTTATTATTATTAGATTGATTTTGAGCTGATAATAATTCACTTTCCAATTTTGTTACCTTTAATTGTAAACCTGTAAGAGTTGAATTTAAACCTTTTATTTCAGTTTCTAATTGTTTGCATTTATTTTGGGTTTCATTTTTTTCAGATTGAGTAGTTTGTAATTTTTGTTCCAATTCTTGAATTTTAACATCGTTTTGTTGTGAAACTAAAATTGGTGAAGAGGTATTTGATGCTGATTGTGGTGGTGGAGTGTGTGCACCGCTGTTGTCTGATAATGTAATTTTATTTAATTTTGATAAAGTTTCTAATTCTGAAATTTGGGATTTCAAACGAGAGTTTTCAGATTGTAACTCTTCAAGTTGTGATTCTCTTGAAGGATCTTTAAGAATAATACCAACACTTTGTTCCAATTTATTCCACATGGCCACGCCACCTAAATCTGATTGTGTACTTGCTAAAGTATAGAGACCCTTTAAGATTGAAATGAAATGATGGTGAAGAGCTGGATGGTTTTTAAGAAGAGAATCAATTTTAGTGCTAACTTCGGTTGGTGATCTAATGTTGACATCTTTGTATTGTGAGCCCACTTCTTCGCTATCTTCTTCTAAACATTCAAAGAATAAATTTATTTGGGTATCTAAATCTTCAAGAACACCTTTGCAATCATTAATTAACTCTAGTAATTGAAGACTGGTAAATTCAGAACGAAGAGCAATACGGGTTTGTAAATTATCTGGAGAGTTAACAATAGAGTTTACAAAAGTCATAAAACTTGTGAAATATTCATAATGAATGGTAGTGTTGATAGTTGAACGTGCACCATCAACAATAGTTTGGAAACGTGCCTTTTCTCTAGTTGCAACTCTAAAGTTTTCAATTGCCTCTAAAACATAAGCATGACCAACTCCTGGAACCAATGTAAGTGCTGCAGTTAATTGTAATACTAAATTTCTAACCTCTGCTGGATATGAAGTGTCTAAACATAATACCAAAACTTTGAATGTATGTGATGTTGTCATTACTGATTTAATACCAACTTGACTATTTAAAATTGATTTAATACAATTTATACAATCTGATAAAATTAAATAATCATTTGAGCTTTTACTATTGTAAAAAATTAAAAGAAAAAAAAAAACATTAGCGTTCAATAAAATTTAAATTTAATTTAATTTAATTTTTTATATTATTACTTACTCTTGTTTTAATTGAAAAGTTTGGAATATTTTTAAGACTTCATCAAAACCACCAATAGTTAAAAAGTTGTTAATCCATGAGATTGCATTACTTGCTAATGAAACACGAAGATCTGATATTAATTTTTGAGTGGTTGCATTTTCACGCAAAAGAGAAAGGTAAAATTGTGGTGTTTCATAAAGACTTCCTTTTTGTTTCATCTTTTCTTCATTTTCTTTAATTTTATCTTTATTTTGAACAAGTAACATCCACTTTTTATCGTTACTCCAAGACTCCATTTCAGCCCTTTTTGATTCTGGTACACCCAATTCATAAAGTAATTGAGAGAATTGGTGCTTTAAATCTTCATTGGATAATTGTGGTTCAGCCAATAAATTCTGTGAACTATTCTTGGTTTCTAAAATTACAACTTCTTTTTTATCGACCTTTTCTTTATCTTTTTTTTTGCCTTTAATAATATTGAACATTTTTTTCCTTTTTTTTTTTTATAAATAAATAATTTTGTGATTTTAATTTGTGTGTTAAAAAAAAAAAATTAAAAAAAAAAAATTTAGTGGTTTTTTTTTAATTAGATATTTATTTTAAATTTTATTTTTTGATTTTTTACAATTATTATATTAAGTAATATTTATTTTATTATTATTATATATACAAAAAAAAATAAATAGATATAAAAATTTTAATTTACAACAACGAATAAATAAGAAATGTATTATAATTTTTTTATTTTTACAGAATTGAAAAATTTGAAAAATAAAAATAAAAAAAAAATAATAAAAAAAATTAAAATTTTTTTTTTTTTTTTTTTAATCGGTTTGGTGGTTGGTTTTATTTGAAAATTATTATTTTTTTCTATTAAAATGAAAATATTTTAAAAAAAAATAAAAATAACACTTAAATTCCAAAAAAGATTATTTTTTTTTGTTTAAGAGAAAATAACCGAAAGATTAAAATAATTATTTTTCTTTTATTTATTTGGAATTTTATTTTCCAAAATTATTTATTTTATTTATAATAAGACTTTCGACTTTATCATCATTTGGTTTATACATTTGGACCAAAGACTTTAGATTTAATATATTTCTGGGGTCATTATAAACTATCAACTTGATTGGTTCATGCTCGTGATTTAAATTTTCTAAAGTTGATGAATGAATTAAATTACTGCATTGTGGTGAAGCGCAATAATCTTGAATTGATATTTTACATTTATCACAATGGTATTCTGGGTTTGGTTCACCACAACCACATGGTTTAGATTCTACAAGTGTGGGTTTTTGTACAGAAGCGGTTTCTTTTGGTTCCTCAATTTTAATTTTCTCTACTAATAGAGATAATGGTTTAATCATTTCTGCAGATTTAGGTTTGATTAATTTGTTTTGGTATCTTTCAGCTCTCCATTGGTTAAACTTGAGCAATAGGAACTTGTGGTAATGAACAAATAATACAAGCAAAACAACAAGCAATAACACACCAACTGGGACCAATGTAAAAACCAATAAATTTACATCTGGTTTTTCTGTCGAATCTTGTTTAAAGTAGTCCAATGGAAGAATTACATCTTGGTATACCACCTTACCATATGGATTCCAACATTTTTCACTGTTAACAATAGATGAAACTGAACATGTAATAATGGGCCTAAAATTAATAATGGAAGGATCGATTGATGATTTCTTTAGGTTTATTAAAAATTTGAAGTTGAAATAATCCCCAACATTTATAAATGTAACAATTTCTTGAACATCAATGGTCACTGGTGATACCTTATATTGATTTCTGCATTCCAATCTAAATGTTACCATACCACCCCCATCACCCATATTATAAATATAACCCATTAGTTTGATTTGATAGTTTTCACTTGTAATATTTTCGATTGTGATATTACCAATATTAGCTGACAATGGCGACCATTCTGAAAACATTAAGTTTAGTGGATTGGAGTCTGATTTATAATAATTAAAGTTTCTAAAAGTATATTCTTTCGGGTATATTAGAGACACTTGAGGAATTTGATCATACAAATCTTCACTTTCAACATTGTTTGAATCCACTCCACAAGGTAAATTTGGTAAAATTGACTTTATATTTAAATCAAGTGACTTGCCTACCGAAGACCAACATAGCTTAGGGTCAACTACAAATGTCAATTTAATTTCTAAATCGTTAAAGAAATATGCTTCGGTTTCATTAAATCCCTTGAATGGTCTATATCCAAACATTAATGAAAATGAACAGTAGGATTTGGATTTAATATTGCAGACCATAGTTGAAGAGTTTGAAATTAAAAATACCTTAGGATTGTCAATTGTGGTCAATACTCTAACTGTACCATTTCCATCTCCCTTATTCTCTATAACTACCGTTTTGATTGTATAGTAAATTAAAGAACTTGAAATATGCTCATTTTGATAGTAATTGTAATTATAATAAAAGGTTTCAGAATCTTGTAAACCCCAATCTGATTTCTTAATCTCTATTGATTGTTTTTCAAGTGTTGATATAAATACCTCTTCAACCAAGCCTTTAATACATGGATCTTCAAATTTGGTTAAATTGAATGTATCCACCACAGACTTTCCTTCTTTATTCCAACAATTGGATAACCCCTCCGCTCTACTTTCAATAACAACAGTTTGTGTACATAAAATTTGATCGGTTTCTAATGTGGCTGGTAATGTTGGAGGACCAATAACTCTATATTTGACGAAGCAGGTTGATTTTGCATTTAATGAGCATTGTGTTGTTTTTTCATTATTTATTACCAATAATTGAGAGTTTCCTGAAACACTTGTACAAATTAAACTTGATTTAACAATTCCTTCACCATATTCAGTGTTCTCTACAACCAGTGTTAAATCCTGATAATATAAATTTTTTTCTAAACCATCTATATCACTATATTTTCCATAGTAAAACCAATTTGACTTTACATTTGGTAACTTGTATTTATTAGAGCCTCCATTGGTTGCCCAGTACTCTAAAGTTTCGTAAAGCGATGGCTCTAGCCAGTTACCTGCACATGCACGATAGATTGGGAATAAAGGCAAATAGCTTTGGTAAAAAGATTTCCCTATATTGCTAAAGCATTCTTCCATTTTTATATTGATAGATAACGAACAACCGACGTTATAGCCAACTATATTTGTTGCACGGGTGAAGAATCTTGGATAAACACCAACCATTGCGTTTGGTTCTACATCAACAGAAAATTTATCAGATGTCAACAATACCATTTCTTTGCTGCAATTACTAATCTCTATATTAAAAGTACCTCTTAAGTCACCCCCATTAAAAATCCTGATTAATGGGAAAGAATTATATATTTTTTCGATTTCTGGCTCATTTTTTCTTATACTAGATTGCAAAACAGGGTCATTTGAATTAATTTGAAGTGGATGTTTGGCTGGAATAACATTAGGATCAATACCAGATGGATCGACCAAAGCCCAAGAGGGTATGGTCGTATAAAATAAATGAGCATTTCCTTTAATATAGTCCAGTTTTGGGTGCTCTATAGTGGGTTCTGGTCTCCTGTCACCATCTTTTACGCATTTATCATAGGGATATAGTACAACAGTTGATATTACAGTTTCATCTAATGAGTTGGGCCAACATTGTACATTTGGATGATTTATTTTTGAAATTATACTACAATTTAATTGAACATTTTGAAATGGACTCGATTCACCATACAATAAAAGCTTTACTATTGATGATTGGTTTGGTGCTAAATTTTTGGTTATGAAATAATTAACGTTATTTAAAAAAAACAACTTTGCCTTTGTATTTGGTGGATTAATTACTTTACAAGATAATGTTGAATTAAAGTCACCACTTTGAGTGCCAGCATTGGTTATCATTGTGCTAATTTCGATTGAGTTTAAATAGTTTCCTAATGAAAACCAGCTGCCCTGCTGAATACCATAAGCTGGAATATCCTTTGCAATTATGGGCTCACCTTTTACTGATGCACACGGGTCTGGTATGTTACATCCTTTAAAAATTGGAACGGTTACATTCTTTTGAAAAGATTTATTTAGTGCACTCCACAATGGCTTGTTATCTAGAGACATTGAAACTTGGCATTCTAACGGACCTTTGTAGTATTTTTCTATTTTTACATTTACATAGAAGAATCTTCTCTGTAAAAAAGGGATTGTTTTTGCATAGTCCAAAACCTCAAGTGTAACATCTTGTAGGCAATCTACATCAAAGTGCACTAGACCATCCAGCTTACCAAAATTTAAAACCTCAACTTGGAACTGGCCCTTACACTCTAACCCTGGTAATTGACCTGTAATACCTGTAACCACCAAACTATCTTGATGAATCATTGGCTCCAAAAAGTTAAAAGATTTAATTTGAAATTTGAAACTTGCTTGATTTGAATTCAATTTCATAACCATTTCGTTTGTATCTTGTTTGATAATAGTACGATTCTCTCTAATTGAATTTGCACCAATAGAGTAACCTGCTACATTTGCCCAATTTGGCATAATTACATCCACTGTATAACCTCCATTTTGTTTAAACTGTTGAATTTGATTGTTAACACCGGTACCGTGATGAGAATTACAAAACCCAACCTGTTTATACCAATCTGTAATATTTACCCCGATTTGATTCATACCTGTACCAAAAGCAGATTTAGGGATGATCAAACTATCAAATGGTAATCCCTCCCTGGTTAATGACAAATAGTTACTGTTTACCAATGATTGGTACTGAGTTGATGATATACCAAAATCAACTTGACAAGAGATACTACTATCTTGATTATAATAAACCTCGGTCAAACTTGAACTTGAGCTTAGTTGAACTTTAATTTCGCCACTCGTACCAAATTTTATATTTAAGTCCCTATTAAATTTTATTTGGTTCAATAAAAATTCTTGGGATTTAAAGATGTCTAAAAATATCATTTTATGGTAGGTACTTTTGCCAGCAAAGTTAACGGTAAATGAATTTCTAATTGAACTTGGTGAACACTCGACAAATTCATAAAAATACTCATAAACTCTTTCTTTATCTACCAAAATATAAATTTTTCTCTGCGATGGATTTGACTTTGATGTAAAAATAAACATCATTTTAAAATAATTCTCTTTAAAATATTGGGCCGTAAATTCTTGCTGTAAGAAAAAAAAATTGAGTATAAAACTAATATAAACACTATATACTATAATTTTAAAATATTAAATTCATATCTTACTTTGACCGTAAATAAAGTTGATCTATCTTCGAATGAGCTTGATGAAATATAAACTTGGTCATAAACTGTACTTTTGATAATAGATTCAAACAAAGAATCATCCATCACATTAAAATCAATAAATGGTAAATCTTGAAACTGTGGGTTTGTTAGCATTAATTCTAATGGAGGAGTATAATAACCATTGATATTGGTTGGAATTACCACTGCTATATCATCTTTAATTTCAAAAGTGATTGGGAAATCTTCAATTTTATATTGGAAATTTTGAAATTGAATTGTATTGATGACAGTTGAAAGGGAACCTTTAGCTACGGATACTGGAACCACGATAGAGAAATAATACTTTTGATTTGCATCACATAATCTAACCTGAGAACTACAGCTTTCGACTTTAATAGTGGACGAAAATAACTTGGGACTACTTGGGTTATTATAGTAATATTTGGTTTCAAAATCATTTGATGATTGCTTATTTAAAGTTGGGCAACTGTTTAAAAATGAGTTTATTTCAATTTTCGGTGGTGAGACTCCATTAGTTGAAAATACATTAATTGCTCTTGGTCCCAAATACTGAAAATTTGATTGAATACCAATATCATTTAGAAAGTATAAATTATTTGAAACTGGCAAGTCATTGAATGTTAACCAAATAGTATTATCTGTTCTTTTACTTGTTGCTAAACTCGGTAATATTGTTGTATTTGTGGTTTTATCCCATACAAACTTTTTTTTTTTGATTTTTTAAAAAATTGAATAAATATTTATTTTAATTAAATTTAATAAATATAATATGAAAAATACTTACAAAAATTGGCTTTTGTTGTATATTTAATTTAATATAGTTTAATAAATCGTTATCTGCCAATGATATAATTGGAGCTACATTATTTTTACTGTTGACTAAAATATCTTTTAAATTGAATTGTACCATCAATTCAAAAGATTTTAAATTTTGAATGATTGTCCCTGATGGAGGATATACGCTGTATGAAAAACAACCCAAGTCTATCGACTTGAATACAAAATAGTCATCGATACAATTAACAAATAAATTTTTATTATTATTAAAACACACTTGAAAAATAAATAATATAAAAATAATTTTGAAAAAATGATATTTTGGCATGATTTTAAAATAAAAATAAAAATAAAATAAAAAATGAAAAAAAAAAAAATAAAATAAGGAGAAAAAAAAAAACCAAACAAATCACAAAGTTGGATTTATCATGATTTTAAAATGATCAAAAAAATATATAGTGCCACTATAAATTTTTAAATATGTCCTAAAAAGAGAGTTTTGAAATTTGAAAAAAAAATATTTGAAAAAAAATAAAATAAAAAGATAATATATAAATAAACATAAAACAAAATCTAATAAACAAGCTTTTTTTTTTTTTTTTTTTTAATTTTATATTTTTTTTTTATTTTTTTGTATATATATAAATAATAGATTAATTATTAAAATTTTTAAATAATTTACCAATCTCCTTTACTTCCATTACTATTACTATTATTATTATTATAACCGCCTCTATTATTATCTCTATTTCCCCATGATCTATTACCACCACCATTATTATCTCTGTTGCCCCATGAGCCGCCATTACCACCATTACCACCACCGTTGTTATCTCTGTTACCCCATGATTTACCGCCGCCATTGTTATCTCTGTTGCCCCATGAGCCGCCATTACCACCGTTACCACCACCGTTGTTATCTCTGTTACCCCATGATCTACCACCGCCATTATTATCTCTGTTACCCCATGATCTACCACCACCACGACCGCCTCTACCACCACGACCACCACCACCATTATTGCTATATCTTGATTGAGTTGGTCTGGAGTGTACTGCGAATCTTTGAAGGAAATCTGGAATGGTTTGATTGGTTCTTTGTAAAATTTTAACTAAATCTCTAAGACCTGGGGTTTGAGTAGTGACATAACTCCAAGCTTCACCAGTTTTACCGGCTCTACCAGTTCTACCAATACGATGAACGTAATCTTCAATGTTACCTGGGAGACGATAATTGAAAACGGCTTTAACACTTGGGATATCGAGACCACGAGCAGCAACATCAGTGGCAATTAAAATACGGATACGCTTTTCACGGAATAAACGAAGACCTTGTTCACGTTGACGTTGATCTTTACCACTGTGTAAAACAATAGATTTTTCGTTTTTAGATGCAGATAAATAATGTTGGAAATCATCACATTTATATTTTTCGTTACAGAATACAATGACTAAATTACTACGATCGGCTGTAAGAATCTTATTAATTTCGTCGAAAATTAAATCATCAACTTGAATATCGGCTAACTCGTCAATGTTTGTAATGTGTTGGGTAACATTAATGGAACCAGTTAATTCTTGTGAACCAACAGTAATTTTAATTGGATCTCTAAGGAATTTGGAAGCAAGTTGTTTGACTTCTTTTGGCCAGGTGGCTGAAAACATTAAAGTTTGACGTTCTTTTGGGATTTGATCAATGAGTGTTTCAATTTGTGGAAGGAAACCCATATCTAACATACGATCAGCTTCATCTAAAACTAAATATTGAACACTTGATAAATGGTGTTTTCTAAGTAAATCATTTAAACGACCTGGAGTACCAATAATAATATCGACACCATTACGTAAGATTCTACATTGATCGAGTTTACCTAAACCACCATAAGCACATAATTGACGAATGGATGTACCACGAACTGATGATTTACAGACGTCTTCAATTTGTTGAGCAAGTTCTCTAGTTGGTGCCATAACTAAAATGAGTGGAGTGGCACCATAGGATGGTCTCTTTGGGAGTGAAATAATCTTTAAGAGTGCTGGTAAAAGAAAAGCTAATGTTTTTCCTGAACCTGTAGCTGCTAAACCAACTAAATCGTGACCACCTAAAATAATTGGCCAACTTTGACCTTGAATAACTGTTGGTGATGTAAATGATTGGAAAATATGTTGGAACATTCTTGGGAATTCATAATCTGTAAACTTTTGGAATGGATCTGGTTGGAATTTACCTTCAATTTGAACATTATTTTTACTTCTCCATTCATCTGGTGATAAAATTTCGTTGGTTGGTTTAATTTCTTCTTTTTTATCTTCTTTTTTATCTTCCTTTTTATCTTCTTTTTTATCTTTTGATAATTGTTTGGATTTTGATTCAACTTCGGAATCTGAGTCTGATGATGAGGAATCTGAATCTGAACTTTCATCTCTTTTAGTAATTTTTAATTTTTTTGAATTTGATTGTTCAACTTCGACTTCTAAATCATCATCTTCGGTTTTTCTTTTATTATAATTTTTGACTGATGGCATTTTTATATTTTATATTTTAATATTAATTTATTATTATATGTGTAGTTTTATATCTAGATATAAAGGAAATAAAATATAAATAATTAGTAACTTTATTTTATTTTTTTTTTTTTATTTTATTTTTTATTTATTTTTTTTTTTCGTATTTTTTAAATTATAATAATATTTTTTATATTTTATTTAGTGTTATTAATAATATTTATAGAAATGTTTTTTTTTTATTATTACGTTTTTTTTTTTATATATTTATTTATTTATTTATTTATTTTTTTATTTATTTATTTATTTTTTTAATATTTTATTTTATTTTATTTTATTATAATTAATAAAATAGATTGTTTTATTTAATCCTTACGTTTAATTGTTTATTTTTGATTTTAAATACTTTATTTCTATATAAATGTATTATAATAAGTACGAAGAGAGTTTAACTTAATCTCTTTGTTGAAACAAATAGTAAAATAACAGCTCGTTTTTTTTTTATTTTGGTTTGTGAAAAAAAAATAAAAAAATAAAAAAAATAATTTAAAATTAAAATAAAAAAAATTAAAAATAAATAAAAAAAAAAGAAAAAATATTTAATTTTATTATTTTTTTTTTCGTTTTTTATAAAAAAAAAAAAAAAAACGAAAAAAAAAAAAAAAAAAAAAAAAAAATTTAATTAAATTCATAAATTAAATTATAACTATTTTTAAATATTTAATATATAATAATATTTTAATTCTTTTCTTTATAAAAAGAGTGAACTTATTTTTAATTTAATAGAATCGTTGAAATTAAAAAATTGCCAAATATCACACCAAGTTTATTGGAAGATGGCAGAAAAGCTATTTTAGACACTCAAATTGATAAAATTGGGATTATCGGTAGTAACTGGATATGATTGAATTTAAAGATTATAAATTGGGTTTTTTCCAAAAAAAAAAAAGGCAGTTTTTTTCTATTAATACCTAAAAAAAAATATTTTATAATTTTAAAATGTTGAAGTGATAGTAAAAACCATAATAATTATGCAAATGTTGGGGTTATTTTCCCTTTTTTTAATTTTTTAATTTTTTTTTTAATTTAATTTTTATTTTATGATTATGGTGCACAATTATGCCTTATAATGTTAACAAAAATAGCTTTATTGTATTTGTTTGATGATGATAAATAATTGAAAAAAATATAACATATTTATAACATATTCAGATTATGGATAACAGAAAAAATAATCAAGGAGCATTCAATTGAGGATATACACCAAAAGCTATTAAATTCCCTTAAGAAAAAAATGTTGCAAGGTCACTAAGAAATAAAACCGCAAAAAAAACAAAGAATTGAGCACAAAGAAAATCCAACATTAGTCATCTAAATTAAAAATATAAGCATATAGTAGTTCAAGTAATGATTCAATTTTAAATATATCCTCAAAAAATACTGGTGAACCAATATCAGTAGTATTTTTTATTTAAAATAAGAAAAGAATAAAATTTTATTTTTTTTAAATTTAATAAAAAAGACTGAATATTATTTAATAAAATTACAATTAAAGTAATGTGTTAAAGGTTTTTTTTCATTTGAGTCAAAAATACACGATTTATATGAAGGATTTTTTTAGGATCGAGTTTTAGGAAAAAGGATCCGGATTTTCATAAGAAAATTTAGGATCGATCCTAGTTTTAAACCTCGATCCTGAGCTATAATTTCAGTATCTTAATACTGAAAATATTTTTGATTGGTTTGATGGAGCTGAAAATTATTTCGTACACTATTTCTAATTAAATTATGACATAGTTATAATCTGTGGAAATGGTAAACATCTGAATCCTTTTTATTATTGATTCTATTTTTGTTATATGCTAACGCTAATTATTGATGTGATACTATCATTACTAATATATTGAATTTTTTGATTCTATAGTCTATTATTATTATTTATATTAATTTTTTTTATTTATTTTTATTAAAAAAAAAATTAAAAAAATAAAATTTTCATTTTATCTCTTTTTTTTAATTTTTGAAATTTTATAATTTTTTTTATATCATTTTAAATTTTTACAAACTGAAAATAGTGCAAAAATAATTTCTAGAAAATAAACAAAATGAGGTTAAGTGATGAACTTCGATACTCAATATTATCATACAAAATCAGAGACCATTACTCAAATAGTAAAATTGCAAAAAAATTGGGTGTCCACAAAACAAAAGTGGCAAAAACAATTCAAAGATATGAACAAACAGGTTAATTCAATGACCATCAACGTTTTGGAAGAGAAAAAAGATTCATGAAAGAGATGAACGTTTATTTTGTTTCAAATTTTTGAATGGTGAGTTGAAGAATGTGAAATTAACAGTGGTTTGGTATTATTCAACAACTGGCCACACCAGATCAGACTGGTTAGTTAGAAACCTATTGCATAGGAATAACATTCTTTATAAAAAGAAATTCATGAAGCCTCGATTATACGAAGTTAAAAGAAGAAAAAGAAATAGTTTTTGATTTGACATAAAAACTGGAATGTGGACCAACGGGAAAATCATATGTTTATGGATGAAGTAAGGTTTCAATAATTTGATAAATACCATTATATAAGATCTTGGGTCAATGACTCTTATGTTTTACTAGATTCAAATACTTAAACAAGTGTTAGAAAAGGTGGAGATAATGTAATGTTTTGGGGAAAATTTTCTATTATGTTCCTAAAAATTAAGATCATCTTTCAGAGGGATTATAATCTAATCTATATATTGATATAATAATAAATGATACACAACCAAATCTGGGTTACTATGCAGATGCGTTACAGGTGCCTGAAAGGGTTCACAAAAATTGTCATGAGAATTTCTAATCTTATTCACCAAATATGATTAGGGAGTAAAACTGAAAATTCAAAATTTCAATTGATGAAATACAACCTTTAAGCCCCGATTTTTATATAATAGATAATCAATGGCCATAAGATACTTAAATGTTCTCAATCCGAATGTTCAGTAAATCAAATCATAACCCAATCCAAAGTCGCATTGACGTTTTTCTTTACATCACTTCTGAGATAAGAAATAATTTTTATAAATCTATTCCAAACAGAAAGGAGGCGATAATTAAAGCTCATGGGGAACATTCATAAAATTAGGTAAATTCATTTGTTAAAATAAAAAAATAAAAAAAATTGAAAATAAAAATTTTTTTTTTTTTAAAATTAAAAAAAAGAGATAAATATTGTAAACATATAATTTTTTTCTTTAATTTTAATTTAAAGGGTTTTAAATGAATCTATATAAAATAAAGTTAATTTATTAGCCTTACATTATATTTAAATATTATAATCTAAATATCTTTTTTCAATATATAAATTTAAAATCGGTGGGGGGTCTACATATTTTCCTCGGGCACTGTATTATATGATTCTATCAATAATAAAAAAACTAAATGCATCTGAATACTCTTTTGTTAAAAAGTGTTGATGAGTTTTTATCTGAATATTGTAAAACCAGATAGCACCGCCTTTAATTGGGAAACGGTTTTTTTTTTAAAATTTGAAATTATTTATTTATAAAGATAAAAGTTTTATTATTTTAGTTGATTATATGGTAATCTGTATTAAAATTAAGTTCACAATTTATAATTTTTTTTTATTTAATATATTGTTTTTTTAATTTATTATATTTTTTTAATTTTTTTTAATTTTTTTTAATTATAATTTTTTTTTTTTTTATTAAAAATAATAGCTTTAATAACCACACACACACTATTTTTTTTATATACAACTTCACTCATAGCATAATCATTATTTTATTACATTATTTAGTATTTGTAAGTAATTATATTTTATTTGTATATTATATTTAAAAAAAAAAAAAAAATATATTCTTTGTAAATTATTTTATTATATCATTTGTTATTTTTTGTTATTAATTTTTTAATATACAAATGTATAAAATTTTTTTTTTGTAAATAAATTATTTTTTATATATCCACATCCTTAAAATATAATAACAGTTTTTTATATTTATTTAGATTTTTAAATAGTATTTTCATTTTGCAAATTAATAAAAAATGTATACTATTGTAATTTGTTTTATTGTTTTTTTCATTTTTTATTGGTTTTTTAGAAAAACCAGAAATAACACCACCAAATGCTACTACTCAGATGGAACGGAAAACGTCGAGGACTTTTTCTACGACGACGAATTTTATAAGGAATTCCATAAAAAAAATAACCCACCACAACAAAATACACCAGAAGTTCCAGAACCACAACCACAACAAAACCAACAATCACAACCACTCCCACTCCATCAACCACTCCCACTCCATCAACCACAACCACTCCCACTCCATCAACCACAACCAACCCCACTCCAGCAACCACAACCAATCCCACTCCAACAACCACAATCACCACAACCACAACCAAAACATACTGCATCAATACCTGATTATAAAAAATTATTTAGAGCTATGGATGCATATGAAAAGCAACAACAAGAGGAACCACAATCACAACCACAATCAAGCACAACCACACATATTATTGATCATAAAAATCAATTTTATGGATCTATGGATATTGACTCAGGGACAGTCAATACTCCTCAACCACCACCACAAGATAAAGCTATAAAACGTTTAAATGAACGTTTGGAGCTCTACGGTTTAGAGAACCGTACAGTCATCCCAGGTGATGGCAATTGTCAGATGCATGCCTTATCTGACCAAATATATGGCGATTTAAACCATAGTATGGAAATTAGAAGAGCTATTGTTACATGGCTCATGAAAAACAAAAATTTAACCCTTCCAAATGGTGCCAAAATATACGAATTTGCCAATGCCACCAGCTGGTATAAGTACTGTAACCAAATGGCAAGAAGGGGTACATGGGGAGACCACTTAACATTACTCGCCGCTGCTGAGATTTTCAAATCTCAAATTACCGTTATCTCATCCGTTGAGTCTAACAGCAGCTTTTTCATTGAAATCACTCCACGTTCAATTGAAAACTCCAGAGCTATTATTTTGTCTCACCATGCAGAACAACACTATGGTTCCTTACGCCAAGTTTTATAATTAAAAAGTTATGGTCCAATATAAAGTAATTCGAGGTACATTATAAAAACATTAAAGGTAAATAATTATATTTTCTTTTTTTTTTATTTTTTATAATTTTTTTATAAATTATTAATTTATTTTTTTAATACAATAGATTTCGCTCTCTTCACAGCATGTTTTGACATTGGTCTTATAAATTTCGGTATTAGTATACCTAATCAATAATTTATAGACAGAAAATGGTATGTAATATAATATTATTTTTAAAATTAATTTTAAACATATACTAATAACCATCATTAGTCATTTGGAAAAAATATAAGCAGCATCTGAAAAACAATCGCCCAAACGTATCAAATAGCCTATAGCAAATTTAATTTAAGGTCCCAATGGTGGTTCAACTAATGGATCAAGTGTGGTTCAAACGGTGATTTAAATGGTTCATGTAATCGGTTAAGTGGTGGTTCAAGTGGTAGTTCACATCACAATTCAAATGTTGGTTCAAATAACCGGTCAAGTGTGGTTCTAGTGATAATTTTTATCTTAATTCAAATGGTGGTTCAAGTAATCGATCAAGTGTGGTTCAAGTGATCAGCCAAGTAGTGGTTCAAGTGGTTTTTCACATAGTAATTCAAAATTTGGTTTAAAGTAACCGGTCAAGTAGTGGTTCATGTGGTATCTTTCATCTCAATTCTAACGTTGGTTAAAATAATCGGTCAGTTGGTAGTCAAATAGCAGTTCAATTGGTGGTTCAATTGGTGGGTCAAATAATATTTTAAGTAGTAGTTCAAATAGTAATAGTAATTGGTCAAATGGTGGTCCAAGTAATATTTTAAGTAGTAGCTCAATAACTTTGGTATGTTATATTTATTAATATTTTTATTTAATATTAAAATATATATTAATAATCTTTTTATTTTATTTTATATATAATCAAGGTTGTAATCGCTGCAGTATAGTCGATTTATTTAGCCAATAATCTCGCGAGCTTGCTTTTTTTTTAAATTTTAAAAAAATTTTATTTTTTTGATTTTTTTAATATTTTTTTTTAAATAAAAAAAATTATATATTTCTTTATTTTATTTTTTGCATCACACAATAAATGCATAAATATTTCAAAAAAATGATCCTAGGTCAATAATAATAGATTTAAAAAGCCTTCAAGTAAGTAAATAAGCACATTATTTTAAAACAAAAAATCTATATAAAAATGGGATTCGAAGATGAACACAATACTAACACAAATTAAATTTTATTATATTTAGTGTAAATCAAGTATGGTAACCTATTTCAATAAGTGGTAATAAAACAGAGCCTGATTCGAGAAGTGTATGATATATTGGTACAGTAGCTTAGAATCAGTTGCATCAAGTGTGAAACCCATTGTATCAAGTAGTGCTTAAGAATCTTTTACACCAGGTAGTGAATTATTTGTTTATCAAAGGTAGAAGTAACGAATCGCCTCATCAAGCTGTAGAGTCTATCGTATCCAATAGTGTAGAATCATGTTTCATCAACCTCTGTTTTTTATAAAATGGTATCAAGTGGTATATATTCCGAACTCATCAAACAATTTGGGACCTACTGTGCCAAGTTGTGCAATATCTGTTGTATTTTTAGTATATGTGGTCGCAATTCAAAGCCTGTCATCAAATATTTATATCAAGTCAACACTAATGATGCCAATCAACCTAATCAATTATTTTATGAATATCATTAATTCGCTCTGGCCAAGCAATTATGATAGAAATAAAATAATTTTAGGAAGAGAAGGTAAAAACACTGAGGCTTTCGTAATTATTGACCAAATTAGGGAATATCAAAACTCACCACTTCTGGAAGTCCACTAAACTTTAATGTTCATTCACCATAATCAAAATAACTACAGCAACAATTTATAGATTTAAATCAACTATTGGAGCAATCAAGGATTATGGAAAACCTCGCCCTCCATTAATACTGGTAAAAAAGATCTAGGCACAATTAGAATCAATCAATATTTCTATAAACCAAATTAATTAATTATAATATAAATTTAAAACAATTATAATAAAAGTGATTTAACAATTTCTTTACTGTTAAATGTCTTTTTCATTTTATTTATATTTATTTTTTTTTAATTTTAATTTTTTATTATTATTATTCATTTTTAATATTTTTTTTTTCTTCAATTTAAATAAAACTTAAATTAGAGAAACGGAAATAAAACAGTGAATATATTATATATACAGTATACAGTTTATTATAAATTTGCAAAAGATGATTTATCTTTACTTCCAGAACTATATAACATTAAATAATTACAATAATAATAATAATAATAATAATAATTGAATGTAGTTGTTTATCTGGATTTGGCGATTGAAATCTGCTTAATCTATTTTATAAGCCATTTAAAAATCTTAATCTTTCTAAATTATCCATATTTAAATAAATATTATACTTGTTTTATTATATAATTATTAATATTAATTATTATTATATTTATTATTTATTTTATATACAGTGCCCGAGGAAAATATGTAGACCCCCTGATATTTTTATATATGTGTTATAAATTGATTAGTTTGGATAGTTTTTTAATAAATATTGACACAGCCTAAAAATAATAAATAATGGTAATAAAAAAAAAAAAAATTAAAAAAATAAAATTTTCATTTTATCTCTTTTTTTTAATTTTTGAAATTTTATAATTTTTTTTATATCATTTTAAATTTTTACAAACTGAAAATAGTGCAAAAATAATTTCTAGAAAATAAACAAAATGAGGTTAAGTGATGAACTTCGATACTCAATATAATAATAACAGTAATATTAAAAAAGATTATGCCGACATCGCTTTCGATACTGATGAGGGTTATGATTATGATCCAAACAAAATAATTTATGATCAAGATCCAGGCTTTACAGAGAAAATGATGGAATTAAAAAGAGAAGATGTTAACGATCAAATTACCAAATATAGAATATTCAATTAGTAGCAATAGTCAACATCTCCATTTTCACAAAATTTCATCTCCATCAGTACAGTCACAAAATCTTTTTTAATAATAATAATAGAATAAAATAATATAGTTTATAAATAATATAATTAGATTTAGAATCGGCACTAAGTAGTAATGTAGAATTGGAATCTGTTACATCAAGTAGTAGTGCAGAATTTGTTGCCCCAGTGACAGCTCTTTAGAATATGTTTCATCTAGTGGTGTTTCATCTGAGCCAACTGGTGGTGATAATGAAGATCCAAGGGTCTAGCTGTTTGTTAAAATATTTGTAGAAAAAATAGGTAAAAGGTGTAACCATCCATATCTTTTGAAAGTGCTGAAGAGTCTTGGTATTGCTATGAAGTTGTTAGGAATCAAAAATATCGAAATTCACCATCAAAATAACCACAGCAACAATTAAACCAAACAATGAAACATATAAATGTTATGAAAAACCTTACATTAACTGATAAAGAATATCCAAGCACAATTAGACCAATCAATATTTTAATAAACCAAATGATAATTTTTTTATGATATTTTTTTTTTTTTTGATTTTTTTAATTTTTTTTGGGAAAATTTTGGTAATATATTTATTTTATATTATTTTTTTAACCCATCCATTTTTTTTTTTTTTTTATATATTAACAATGAAGGAGCTACTATCATCTCTAATTAACTTTCGCATAAATGAGGAGTTAAAAAACAGTAGTAACATTAGTGATAGGTATGTGCATTACAATACAATAAATATAATTAATAGATTAATTAAAAGCATATTAATTGGTATTTTCCTTTTTAAATATTAATTATAGATTATTATATAAAATTTGGAATAATATATTTTTAAGAAATGAAATTCATAAACATATTTTAAAGTTTATTGAACATGATTTTGTAAATCTTGATTTAACAGAATATAACGAGTTTAAAGATAAATCATATATAACAACACTTCAGTGGCGTGGTGATCCGCTACCAGATAAAAATGAATTTCCACCATTTTTGACAAATTTATATTTGACACTTTTAAAAATGTCACCAACAACTTTACCAAATACAATTACTTCACTCAGATTCGGTAATTATTTTGATCAAGTAGTTCTACCTGGCACATTACCAAATAATCTCACAACACTCGAATTCAGTAATTATTTTAACCAAGAAGTTCTACCTGGTACATTGCCAAATAGTCTCACAACACTCACATTCGGTAGTAATTTTAACCAAGTAATTCTACCCGGCACATTACCAAATAGTCTTACTACACTCATATTCGGTGAATTTTTTAACCAAAAAGTTCCACCCGGCACATTACCAAATAGTCTCACAACTCTCATATTTGGTCATGAGTTTAACCAAGTAGTTCTACCCGGCACATTACCTAATGGTCTCACAACACTCGCATTCAGTACCTATTTTGACCAAGAAGTTCCACCCGGCACATTACCAAATAGTCTTACTTTACTCACATTCGGTGATAATTTTAACCAAGTAGTTCTACCCGGTACATTACCAAATAGTCTTACAACACTCATATTTGGTTATTATTTTAACCAAGAGGTTCCACCCGGCACATTACCAAATAGTCTTACAACACTAATATTTGATTCCTCATTTGACCAAGTAGTTCTACCCGGCTCACTACCAAATGGTCTCACAACACTCACATTCGGTCATAGTTTAAACCAAGTATCTCCACCCGGCTTATTAACAAATAGTCTCACAACATTCACATTCGGTAGTAATTTTAACCAAGTGGTTCAACATGGCCTATTACCAAATAGTCTCACAAAACTCACATTCGGTTATTGTTTTAACCAAGTAGTTCTACCTGGCACATTGCCAAATGGTCTTACAACACTCACATTCGGTAATGATTTTAACCAAGTAGTTCTACCCAACACACTGCCAAATAGTCTTATTACACTCACATTCGGTAGTAATTTTAACAAAGTAGTTCTACCCGGATCACTACCAAATAGTCTTACTTCACTCACATTCGGTTGTTATTTTAACAAAGAGGTTCCACCCGGCACATTACCAAATAGTCTCACAACACTCATATTTGGTTCCTCATTTAACCAAGTAGTTCTACCCGGCTCATTTCCAAATAGTCTCACAACACTCATATTTGGTTGCTCATTTAACCAAGAGGTTCCACCTGGCACATTACCAAATAGTCTTACAAAACTCATATTTGGTTCCTCATTTATCAAAACAATTCCCAACTTGTCACCATATAGTCTTAAAAGACTCAAATTGAATCCCAAGTTTAAAAAAAATTACCTCTCTCTCATTACCAAATAGTGATACCACGTAATGAAGATAATCAACAGGTGGTATGAAGTGGTATTATATATTCTGGAGAACCTTTCGTAAAGTGGTTCAGCACCTGTAATATCATGCTATAATGCAGAATCTTTAAAATATCATCTATAATTATTTTTTAAAACACAAAGTAGTTTTTAATATTATTCATACATCCGATACCAGTTCAACTGGTTTAGAAAACAAAACCAAGCTTTCGATCTCTGCAAAAAATAATAGTAAATAAACTTTTTTTCCTTAAAGATCATTTTAATAATTTCATTTTATGAATATTTCCAAATATCTGCAATTGTTATTGTCATTATATATTCTTTCTTTCTTCTTATAAACCTTTTTTTTTTTTCTTAATAAAAATTGATTTAATTTTTTGTACCCAGGGTTGATAAATTTTTTATTTAAATCTTTCTAAAATAGAGCTTTGATATTTTTTTATTTTAATTTTAATAAATAAAATTTTTTTTATAAAAAATTTATTAGATTTTATAAAAGAGCCGTTTTTTGAAATAATTTTATTCTTTTTTTATTATATTTTTTTTGATTTTTTTTTTAATTTTTTTTGGAAAAATTTGGGTATTTTATTTATTTTATTTTTTAAACCATCCATTTTTTATTTTTTTTTTATTAACAATGGATGAGCTACTATCATCTCTAGTTAACTTTCGCATAAATGAAGAGTTAAAAAACAGTAGTAATATTAGTGATAGGTATGTGCAATACAATACAATACAATAAATATAAGTAATAGATTAATTAAAAGCATATTAATTGGTGTTTTCTCTTTTTAAATATTTATTATAGATTATTATATAAAATTTGGAATAATATATTTTTAAGAAATGAAATTCATAAACATATTTTAAAGTTTATTGAACATGGTGGTTTATGTCTTGATATATCAGATTATGAGGAGTTTAAAGATAAATCATATATAACAACGCTTCAGTGGTGTGGTGATCCGCTACCAGATGGATATGAATTTCCACCATTTTTGACAAATTTATATTTGCACAGTTTAAATTTGTCACCAACAACTTTACCAAATACAATTACTACACTCACATTCAGTGATTTTTTTAATCAAGAAGTTCCACCCGGGCACATTACCTAATAGTATCACAGCTCTCATATTTGGTCATAATTTTAACCAAGTAATTCTACCTGGCACATTGCCAAATAGTCTCACATCACTCAAATTCGGTAGTTATTTTAACCAAGAGGTTCCACCTGGTACATTACCAAATAGTCTTACTACACTCACACTCAGTGATAATTTTAACCAAGTAATTCTACCCGGCTCATTACCAAATAGTCTCACTTCACTCAGATTCGGTTTTTATTTTAACCAAGAGGTTCTACCTGGCACATTACCAAATAGTCTCACAACACTCAAATTTGGTGATAATTTTAACCAAGAAGTTCTACCCGGCACATTACCAAATGGTCTCACAACGCTCACACTCGGTGATAATTTTAACCAAGTAGTTCTACCCGGCACATTTCCAAATAATCTTACTACACTCACATTCGGTCATAGTTTTAACCAAGTATCTCCACCCGACTTATTTCCAAAAAGTCTCACAACATTCACATTCGGTCGTGTCTTTAACCAAGAATTTCTACCTGGCCTATTACCAAATAGTCTCACAACACTCACATTCGGTTATTGTTTTAACCAAGTAATTCTACCGGGCACATTAGCAAATGGTCTTGCAACACTTACATTCGATCATGATTTTAACCAAGAAGTTCTACCCCATACATTTCCAAATAGTCTTACCTCACTCACATTCGGTGATAATTTTAACAAAGTAATTCTACCCGGTTCATTACCAAATGGTCTTGCAACACTTAGATTTGGCCATGATTTTAACCAAGTAGTTCTACTCGATACATTACCAAATAGTCTTATTACCCTCACATTCGGTGAGAGTTTTAACCAAGTAATTCTACCCGACTCATTACCAAATAGCCTCACATCACTCACATTTGGAGCTAAATTTAACCAAGAGGTTCCACCTGGCACATTACCAAATAGTCTTGTAACACTCATATTTGGCTTTATATTTAACCAAGTAATTCTACCCGGTTCATTACCAAATAGTCTCACAACTCTCCAATTCGGTTATTGTTTTAACCAAGTAATTCTACCTGGCACATTACCAAATAGTCTCACAACTCTCACATTCGGTTATAGTTTTAAACAAGTAGTTCTACCGGGCACATTACCAAATAGTCTCACAACTCTCACATTCGGTTATAGTTTTAACCAAGTAGTTCTACCTGGCACATTACCAAATAGTCTCACAACTCTCAAATTCGGAAATAAATTTAACCAAGTAATTCAACCCGGCACACTACCAAATAGTCTCACAAAGCTCACATTCGGTCGTGGTTTTAAGCAATTATTTCCACCTGGCTTACTAAACAATCAAATTAAAATTTATAATTTATAGATTCATCAGTATTAGGTTTATTAAAATCAAACTTTACCATTCAAAAATAATCAAAGAACATATTCACCCTAACAACAAAAAACAATAATTTTCTCGCCCTAAACTCAACATCCAATATCTCCAAGACTTCAATTTCTTTTTCTTCATTAAACAATAAAAATATTTTTGGTGACTCTGTGTTTAAACTGTAAATCAATTACCACAACATCGCTAATATCCAATACCAACGAACCAATAACCATTGGAATTAATATACCACATTGCAATCAATGTCAAATTGATCCAGACTTTTCAGTTCTAGTATCACCAGACTTCAAATCAAACTGTGAAAGCTCTTCAAAAAAATCATATGTTATACCAGTTGCAGTAGTAGCAAGTGTTCTTAGTGTTGAACTAATTATAGGTGGAGATTTACTGTATATAAAAGAAGAATAGAACTTAAAAAAAGCAATTAGATTAAGTAAACTAATAAATAAAATAAATATTATTTAAAGATAATATCATTACTTTTTTAATCATAATTATTTTGTTTAAACCTTTTTTTTAAAAGCGAAGATTTAATGATGAATTTCATAAAAAAAAAATTAAATAACCAAAATTATACTTTGATTATTATATGTTACAATTTATATATTTAAAAGTTTCGTGCAATGATAAATTTTAACAAAAAAAAGATGAAATACTCATTATCACCACAATATACCCAAATTAGAATCAGTGTTGGATAGGATAAAATAGATTTCAAAATGGTTGAATTTTTAAATTCAAATTAAAAAAATTAAATAAAAATAAAAAATTTTCTTATTAATTTTTTTTTTTTTATTTTTTTATAAAATTTTACCAACTTTTTTTTTTTTTTTAAATGGAACCTAAAAATATTATTAACAAAGAAATAAAAGTGTAGCAGTAATCGGGATTAACTTAAGACTACCAGGTAACTCAAGTAATCCAGTGGCATTATCGAATAATTAAATTAACAAGTTTTATGGTATTGTTGATAAATCAGAAAGATGGAGTGATAACTTTCTTTTAAATAATGAAATAAAATCTAACATCAAAATCAAATTTTCAGATATAAAATTAGAAGATATCAAACATAATACAATTCAATTGTTAAGAGATAGATATTTAACCAATCGAAAACACACATATATAAAACAATTATAAATGTAGAAAAACCTCAATTTCAATTTTTGAAAGGTCTTATGTTAATTTTTTATATTAAGTAATAATATTAAACAAAAAGATAATACCCAATATTTATATTTTTAAAAATAATAATAGAATTATTAATTATGTTGTAAAAAAAATTTTTAAAAATGAATAAAAAAAAAAAAAAAAAAAAAAAAAATTTTTTTACAATATACAGTGTTTTTTATTAAATTAAATTAATCTATAAAAAGTTTATGAATATGATCTAGTTATCAATATTCATTTTATTTAATCTTGTATAAACCATTTGACCTAGAACCATTTCTAATCTCTCGATTTCTTCTTCAGATTGGTACAAAAGTGATTCTATAGCTTGCTTCTTAAAATATCTGAATTCATTTTTTTTTCTTATTTCCTCTAATTCTTTTTCCTTTTCTTCATTTTTTTTGGCCATGATTTCGAGTTGAAAGTTTATAACATCTATATCATGTTCAAGAATTTCTAATTGCTTTTCATGTTCTTTTCTTATTTCCTTACAATTGGATTTTTCAATTTCGAGAGTAGTTTCTTCGATTTCATAATCCTCTTGAGCGTTTTCAAGGGATTGTTCCGATTCTTCAATTTCTTCTTTCATTTTTCTTAGTGATATGGCATGGATTTCTCTGGCACTATCTTTTTCTTTTAATAAATATAACTTTTCAATTATTTCTTCTTTTGAATCCTTAATTTCATTTTCTAATATAGAAATTTCCATTTGTTCTTCATAATAATATGGTCTTTTATTTCCAGCATTGATATTTTGAATTTTTATTTCCTTATCAATAATTTTTTCTTTGGTTTCTTCAATTTCCTTTTCATAATCATTGGCAAGCTTTTCGTTGATTATTTCATCTATTGTTCTAGTATCAACAGTTGGGATGGCTCTTATCTTTTTATTTCTTTGTTCCATTTTTGAATATAAATTATTTTGTATATCTGTAATTACAAATTTTTTTTTTTTAAAAGTTATTAATATTTGTAATAAATTTTTATTTTTTTGTTTATTAATACTACTTACATGAATAATGTTAAAAGAAGGTCTATGTGGGTGAATTAAAAATAAAAATAAAAAAAAAAAAAATTTTTTAAATTTAAAAATTTTTTATTTTAAAAATTATTTTTTAGATATGAAGGAATTTGTACCACACACCCCACACTATAAACCATTGCGTAAAAAATTTAAAATTTTATTTAAATTACTTGAACTTCAGGTTTATAAATAAAATCTTTATTAAAAATAAGATTTAAATCCAACATTTCCTCTTTAAGTCTATATCGAATTGTAATAAACTCAATGCACTAATTTAAAAAAAATTAGTATTATTCATTTTTTTAAATTAATTATTATATTGTACATACAATTATTTCTGGAATAAAAGAATCTGAAATAATTTGATAAATAATCAAAGTTAATGATGATGACAATGAACCGATGTACCCCTTCTCAAATTTTTATTAAATAGATAAGCAATTTTTAAATATTATTTTTGAAGTTTCAATATCTTTTTCAAACATATTATTTAAAAAAGATCTTAAATTTAAAATAAAAAATGGGTATTATAATTAAATTAAAAAAAATAATTTAAAATTAATTTTGTTTTTAGAATAAGTTTTTATTTTTAAAAAATTTTATGATGATAACACCGATGTTTCAGTATCCTATTACTGAAAATATTTGAAGAAGATCTATAGATTTGAAAATAATATGTAAACTATTTCTAATTGAATCATGACTGGTAATAATCTATGGAAATGGGAAACAATTGATATTTTGATAATTTTATTGATCATGATTGTAAAACAGATGATTTAATTTGATTTCTATTTCAAACTTTTACTAGATAAGGTCTACTATTTTTTTACCTAATTCTATTTGATGTTCTACCATATTTACTTGGTCAGAGAAAATTTGGAAGAGGTTATGATCATTAAAAATTGAAAATTTAAATCTAATAATTCTATAATTTATACACAATATTATTTTATTCTATTATTATTATTAAAAAAGATTTTGTGACTGTACTGATGGAGATGTTGACTATTGCTACTGATTGGAAATTCTCTATTTGGTAATTTGATCGTTAACATCTTCTCTTTTTAATTAAGTGGTAACTATAGTCATAAAAACAAAGGGCATGTTTTATTAAACCATGTTTTTTTTCGTAGCCACTATCTGTGTCGTAGGATATCATTCCTAACTCACGTTTAAATTCCATCATTTTCTCTGTAAAGCCTGGATCTTGATCATAAATTATTTTATTTGGATCATAATCATAGCCCTCATCAGTATCGAAAGCGATGTCATCATATTCTTTTTTAATATTACTGTTATTTCTATTATTATTTAATTTATTGATATTACTAATATCTTTATTTTCTCTATTTTTTTTAATTACTATTGAATTTTTTAAAATTGTTTCTATATCTCTACCAATAATAAAAAATAATCTAATGAAGTTTTCTATTTCAACTCCTATCAAAAGAATTGTAAATAAAAATAAACCAATTATTATTGTATAGATTGAACAATAAATTAAAAATAAAATAAACTGAATAATTTGAAATATTAAATATAATATGGTGGAAAAAACTAAAGATACTAATAAAAAGATTATAGTATTTGAAATAAAGCCTAATTCTTTATCCATTTTGATTATTATATATGATTATATTATAATTTAAAAAATATTATTATTATTGAAGTTTTTATTAAAATAATATTATAGATGATTATTAAAAAAATTTATAAATAATAAAAAAAAAAATATATAATAAAAAATAAATATAAAAAAAATAATTAATTTGTGTCAGTGGGGTGAATGTCAGTCACAAAAATTTATTAAAAAAAAAATTAAAAAAAATAAAAAAAAAATTAAATAAATAAAAAACTAATAGGGGTGAAAATATAAAAAAAAAAGTATCATTGATTAAATATTATAGTTTCCATTTTAATTCAATTATATAGAAATAATAAGCACATTAAAAAAAAATAAAAAAGTGATTGATTGATAATTAAAATAGTAAAAAAAGATAGGTGCTGTATACTATAGTTTAATTAATTATAATTACCTATTATTTAAAATATACCAGTAAAATTCATGATAATATTTTTTAATCGATATTGTGTGAATTTTTTTTTTTTTTTTAAAAAAGTGAAGATGATTCTTGATACATTAAGTCATCAGATTTTTTATTGTGTTTTGTTTTGGTATGTGTTTTATAATTATATAAGTTTTACCACACTTCATACAAGTTGGGCACGGTAACATCAATTCGTGTATGATTCGGTTTTGAAAACTTGCAAGACTGGGTTTAAAAACTCCAGAGTGGTAACCTGTAGGAAATTCGCTCGACCACTTGGCTGTCATTGCTCCCCTGATGTAGATATTTGGCTAACATTTCGAGTAAGGTTAGTTTTTGAGGTGGTTTTCATTTGGAGTTTTTTTTTTTTTTTTTACTTCCCATTCACCAGGAAGATAAACTCAACAAAAAACCTGGAGAAGAGGGGTATCGATCCCCTTACCTTAAGGAGGTCTGATGTTGCTGTCTTATTGCAAACCTTACGCTCTACCATATGAGCTACATCCCCGAATATGATTTTTTATTTTTTTAATCAGTAACGGCCACAAAAAATTATTTTTGCATGATTTTTCCATATCTTTTTTCATAAAATTCATTATCTTTAGGGTGAAAACACCGATACATCTGAAAATCTGCAGAACCTTAACAAGAAACTTCTAATAACATTAATACTAAATAACAAAAACTAATTAACAAAAACTAAAAAAAAAAAAAGTAAATTATTAATATTAATCTCTATAAATTAATAAAAGTCGTGTTAACCTTTGCTCGATTCTAATTAAAGGGTTAAGTCAAAATTTTGTGGTTACAATTAATACAAAAAAGCCAAAAAATATTTATAAAATATTTATAAATCAAAAATTAAAAATAAATTAATAATACTGAAATTTAAATTGGTCAGTTTAAAATTTTAAATACAAACAAATTTAAACATAAATAATGAAAAAAAAAAAAAAATTACCAAAAAAACGGTAATTTTAAATTTTACATTTCTTATTTTATTTTAACTTTAATTACATTTCAAAAATAAATATTAAGCATTATTTAAATACACTTTTATTTAAATTTAAAAAATAAATAAATTTTTAAAATAACAATCTTTTTAATTAAAATTTTATTATAATATATTATGATTTAAAACTATTTATAAAAAAATTATTTATTTTTTTTTTTTTTTTTTTTTGAAAAAATAATTTAAAATTTTTTTTTTTTTTAAAAAATATAACTGATATAAAAAAAAAAAAAAATTTTAAATTATTAACAGCAAACTTATAAAATAAAAACCCCATTGCAAAATTTAGATATAAAAAATAAAATACAAATTTATTGTTTAATTTTATTAATAATATTTTATTTTTTCTCATTTTTTTATTTTTTTTATTTTTTTTTTATTTTTTTTTATTTTTTTTAAATTATTTTTTTATAATTTTCCATTATTTTATTTTATTTTATTTTTTTCTATTTTTTTTTTTAATTATTAAAAAAAAAAATCACACACCTTTAATATTTATAATATATATATATATCTAATAAAATGGATACTATTGAACAAAACTGTTGTTTTTGCTTATCAGCAATCACACAGCCTACAAGAAATAAGCAATGCAGTCATATATATTGGTATGTTTATTATTAAATTTTCAAATTTTTAAAAAATCGAAAAATAAAAAAACAAAAAAAATAAAAAAACAATAAAATATAATTACTGTACAGTAACAAAAATAATAATGATAATAATAATAATAATAATAATAATAATAACATTAATAATTTTATAATATTATAGCTTTGAATGTATAGATAATTGGATTAAAACTAAAGATGAATGTCCAATTTGTAAAAGTAAAATCAATGAATTAATAACAATAGATGACAATGGCAAAGAAAGAACAATAGCTGTAGAAGAACCAAAGAAACCCTCACCCGATAGTGTAGAAGTGGATTTAGCATGTTTAGATAATAGATTTTTTTTAGAAGAGACACAAAAACTTTTATCAATTTCGCATAGCATTGTTTTACAAATGGAAAGTTTAATGTCAACAGAAAAAAAAGTTTACTATACACCTACAATGTCACCTCAAGATACAGAAAGATTAAACACCATTACCGATAGACTATATACACTACAAAAAGATTTAGAAAACTATGAAAATGCCTTTGACCCCGAAGATTTATTATCAACATTCTATATTTTTGAAACCACTTTAACAGATTTAAAAGAGAAATATTTATCAGAGTTTTTAAATAAAAATAAATTAAAATACAGCAACAGTAAAAAGAAAAACCATCACCACTATATAAACGAAGATGACGATGAAGACTATGACGAAGATGAATATATTTATGATGATGATGATATAGAAGAATCATTATATAATCAAATAGAAAGTAATAACAACAATAACACCAATTCAAATAATAATAAAAATAAACTTAAATTTTAATAAAAACTATATTTATTTATATAAGAAAATAAATAAAAAAAAATAAAAAAAAGTTTTTATTTATTTATTTATTCAAAATTTTTATTTTTTATTAATATTTACAAAAAAGAAAAATAACAATGATATCGTGTTATATTCTTTGTTTTTTATATGATACTGGTTGTTGTTGTTGTGGTTTGGAATGGTCCTCTATCATTGTAATTTTTAAATCCTCATCAGTTTCCCAACCAATTTCATTTTGAAGATCTTTTCTTTTTTTTGAGGATCTTTCTAAAATTTGATCTAAACATTCTTTAAAAATTCTCTTTCTTTTTATCCATTCGTTTCTTGCTTTTCTAACAGTGTCTTGTAAACGTTGTTTGTCAGCATCGCTCATCATAGAGGTTTTTGATTTGAAATCTTTGAGTTTCTTTTCTAATTGAGAATTTTCGGATTCTAACTGTTGAACTTCATCTTGAATTTGTTGATCGGATAATTGAGAGTTTAATTGTTTTGTTGTTGACAAAAGGGACTTTAATGTATCTTTTTCTTGCTCCAATTGACGTGTAAGTGAATCTACCTTTCTATTTAAATCGTCCATTGTCTCTTGAGGAATTTCATATCCTTGCTCATCTAGTTTTGGTCCTGTGTCTTGAATTTTCCAATAAATAACTGATTTATTATACTCTTTACCTGCAATCCTATTTTGCTCATGCAATGATTTTAATGTCTTTTGAACCTGTGTTTTACCCATACTCGGGAACTGTGCTTCGATCATTTGGTAATTGTAAGGTCTATTTCCTTTATTTATAAAATTTAAAACATTTTCTTCGACTAAAAATATTTATGAATTAGTATTTTATTTTATTTTTATGTTTATAAATAATAAATAATTTAATAAGTACTTTCTTCTTTTTTTGAATATTTTTTTGACATTTTATTTATTTATTTATTTTATTCAGCGATCTGAAAATATATATTGATAATTGTAGTTGTAAATAATTAATTTATCTTTTTTTTAAAAATAAAATGAAAATTATAAAAAAAAAAAATTATTAAAAATTTTAAAAAATTAAAAAACAAAAAAAAATAATTTTCGCGAAATAATGTAATTTATAAGAAACAATTTTAAAAAAAAGGTATCAAGATTACCTTACTTTTTTCTTTTTTTCCTTTTTTTTATAATAAATAATTTATATATTTTATTTATTTATTTATTTATAACTTTTTAATTAATAAAACAAAATGGATATCTTTAAGGGCTGTATTATCTTTAACTATAAATGGAAAAGTTTGGGAAGTGGATTCATAACCAATCGAACGATACCATGAAAGTAATTCATCACGGCAGTTGACAACATGGAGATGGGACTCTTTGCAATTCTTCCAATTTCTCATTTCTGACTCGGCTAATTTAACTAAAACACCGCCAACACCTTTACCTTGATATTCTGGGTCTACTGATAACATACCCAAAACTGCGTCTGGAGATTCTTCGGTTTCTCTATCAATTTTAACACAACCTACAACATGTCTCTTTTCATTGGCTCCATCAGTAATGATATGTTCTAATAACATTAATCTCATTACCTTTTCAGACTTGGCTAAATCTTCTTTCAACATTGCTTCTGTTAATCTTGGACCTGTAACCAAACCCTTTTCAGTTGTCCATGTTTCGATATCGCCCTTTCCTCTGTATGCCCAATTTACAATTTGCACAATAATATCTATATCCCTTTCTTCAATTAATCTTGCATGCAATTTAATTCCATTTTTACCTATACTAGTTTTATTTAATGAAACTTCGTTTGGGGAACTTTCTGGTGACATTGGTATCATTGCTTATTATTACAGTGTATATATTTAGAAATAATTTATTTTATACAAAAAAAAAAAAAGTTATAGATAAATAAATAATGTTTTATTTATTCAAAAAAAAACTATCCAGATATTATTTAAGTATAAAAAAAAAAAAAAAATTTAAATATTAAAAAAAATAAAAAATAAAATTTTTTTTCAGTTAAAATATGAAAAAAAAAAAAAAAAAAAAATTTCGGTTCTTATAGAACCAATATTTAAAATCCAAAAACAAAGAACCATTCTTAGGAAAATATTAAGTAAAATCCAATTTGATCAAATATTTCTTTTTTAACACTTAAAACAAAACAAAAAAAAAAAAAAACAAATACAAACACATTCCTTTTTCTAAAAAAGATATATTTTAAATAACAAAATTTTTCTGTATTAAACCTCAAAATTTCTATGAAAAAATCACCTCACACAAACGAATCAATTTTTTTAAAAAATTCCAAAATAACAAGAAATCGCTTATTTCTTTAAATAAAAAAAAAAAAAAAAATAATTTTAATTTTTAAAATTTTAAAAGCTATTTAAATAATAATTTATATTTTAATTTTTTTTTTTTTAATTAATAAAATAAAATAAATAAATAAATAAAAAAAATAATAATAATATTTATTTTTACCATCATTTTTTTTTTTTTTTAATTTAAAAATTTTATGACAACAACAAAATTTTTTTAAATTTATTTTTATTTTTAAATATTCAATTAATTTACCAAATATAACTACAATTTTTTTTATTTTTTTTTAATTCATTTTTTAAATACGTTTTTATAACAATAAACTAGTAATAATAATTTTTACTTTAATTTTTTTCATTATTTATTTATTTATTCATTCATTCATTCATTCAAAAATAATCATCTGTAAATAATAATAATAATAATAACATTAGAATGAATTTATTTTTTTTAGATATAGTATCAAAGAAATCAGCAAGATATCATTGCGATAAACATGTTGTAAAATTAATTTTAGAAGCAACACAAATGTTATATTCGGTTTGGCATTTATGCGAACCCAACGAAGCATGGAAAACTAAAGCACCAAGTAATTACATGAAACTAACACATAAAAATCATCCACTTTCAAAGTGGGTTAGAACTAATAACCAAACATATGACATGGTAACTGAGTATTGCAATAGTTTATTAGAAGAATATACACTTAGATATGGCAAAATTCATAGCAGCAAACTTCATATGGATTGGTTAGAAAAAAACTATCCATCAAATTTACCAAAAAGCAATGATTTACCATTAATGCCATTATGCATGCCGGATACTTACAAAGTAACACCATCCACCAAGTGGTCTGATGTTGTTGACTCCTATAGAGCTTATTATGTTGGTGAAAAACTCCATTTTTGTTCCTATAAAGGTGTAGAATGGCCTGAAT